GAGAAAAAGAAAGAAAGGAAAGAAAAAAAAAGAAAGAAAGAAAGAAAGAGAGTGAAAGCAAGGAAGAAGTACCGTGTGATATCAAGGCACGTTAAGCACCAGATGGTCGAAATTACCGAAGCCCCTCCACTGCGGCGTCTCTCATAATCATTTGTGGTTTTGGGAGGTAAAACCGGTGATGTTATTATTATTATTATTATTATTATTATTATTATTATTATTATTATTTTATCCAATGGAGACAAAATGCTAGAGGTTCGTGTACCGTGCGACGGTATATAGGGGACACCAGATGGTCGAAATTTTCAGAGCCCCTCCACTTTGCCTGATAAAGATAATCATGTCGCGGTTTCGGAACGTAAGACGCCGAATATTAGCATAGTATTATTTTTTCGACGGAAGAAAAATGATGGAGGGCCGTGAACTGCGCTACGTCAGAGCTCTGCGAAGGACACCGGTCGAAATTTCCGGAGCCCTAAACTGCGTCGTGGTCATATCGTGGTTTTGTTCGCGTAAAACGTCCAGAGTTTGTCATCTTGATCATGGGCTGCGATCAGCAATGTCTGATACGGAAATCTGACATTCAATCGCGGTTATCTACGTAATATACAACATCACATTTCAACATTCTATTGTTGATTGATATGTGGGGTTTAACGTCCCAAAACCACCATATGACTGAGAGACGCCGTATAATGGAGGGCTCCAGAAACTTGGACTACCTGGGGTTCTTTGACGTGCACCCAAATATGAGCACGCGGGCCTACAACATTTCTGTCTTTATCGGAAATGCGACCGCCGCAGCCGGGATTCGAACCCGCGACCTGCGGGTCAGCAGCCGAGTACCTTAGCCACTATAGATGGCTAGCCACGGCGAGGCAACATTCCATTGTTGCCTGGATATGAACGCACGACCATCTTCGTTTCTCGTAGCAACTGAAGCGTACGTGGCGCTGCTACGCACGTACATGGATGAAGGTTCAAATACCGGCATGGAAAAACGCCAGGCCTGCTCGGAAGCAAGCTATATAGTCAAACCTTTGTGATAATATATCCAATCGTCGCAGGCTTTGCGATTCCCGTGCAGTAGCACGACGCTCTAAGGATCATCTGGTTTCACTGTGTCAAGCTTTGCCGAACTTGGTGCAAACTTCTTTCATTTATTACTTTTTTCCCACTGTACTGCGATACCAAGTCGAGAAATTAAAGTGAGAACTCCGCAAGCGACTGTGGGCTCGCCGGATTCCGTGCCGACCGGTTGTGCGCTCGCGATCTCCGACGTCAGCGTAGCTCTGGCCGACTGGGCTCGCCCTACGTCATCTCCTGACGCCGACCTCCGACGACAGTGTAGCTCTGACCGACTGAACTTGCTCTACGCCATCTCCTGACGTTGGACAAGAGCTCTCGCAAGTGGTGTCCCGTCCTCGGACTCCTGTGACCGTGTTTCCATCTTTCCTATCTCTCCTATCCCCATGCTTTGTCGTCGCTCTCTCTAGCTTACCTCATCTCTCTTTCTCTCTCTCTACAACTTTATTCCTATCCTTTTAATCCCTCCTCACCCCCATCCCTTGTGAGCTAGTGCTGAGGTCCCTCCCCCCCCCCCTCCCCCCGCAAGCGACTGTGCTCAACAGCGGGCGGCTTTGTGCGAAAACGCAGGTGGTGCGTGGTCTGTTTCTCTCTTTTTTTTTTTTTTCGGACCCATTCGCTTTCGGCCGTTCTTCACTCCACAAGTGGCATACATTGCCCTCACTTCAGATGAAATCGCACACCCACTCTAGATTGTGCTGCGGCGCACACCTACACGCGTCTCTCTTGCATGCCTCGCGTCTAGTACGTTCGCACAGTTCGTTTAAATGCATACAACAGGTGCGCGAAAAAGCGCTGTGCGTGTCAACAGCTGTGCGCGCTTATAACCTTGCGGGTGCGTACTCGCCAGGCTTGCTACCATAGCCGAATCCATTTACTACAGTTCCGTTCGAGGTTCATATTGTGCGTCTGTATATACATACAAAAAAGTAAGTTTAAAGCGTGGCGACGTATTCAGAATGAAACCAGTGCCTGTGTTCATCGCTTGTGAACTTAACGAAAACATAAAATCTTTTTATATATATATAAGGTAACAAAGCCCTATTTTTTCCCCAGCTTGGGTCATGAAAAGTAAAACTAAATTTGTTATCCTTCGAATTCCCACAGAACTCTTTTTCCTCTCTGTGTCTTTCTACTTGTTTTTGTTTTCTCGCTCTTTCAACTTATTTTTCTCTTTATTCTCTGTCTCTCTCTCTCTATCGCTGCCCCCTCCTTTCTGTCTATTTCACTATCTTTCTTTGCTCATCCCCCGTTCTCTCTGGCCTGCTCTGTTTTTTATATCTCTTACATTAGTATGTTTTTTCTCTCTCTTTATGCATCTGTTTATTTCTTTCCGTTATATATTTCTATCTTTCTGTCCTTTCTTTCTATCAATTTATTTATCTCTCTTTATGTACTCGTTCCCTTGTCCATCCGAGTCGTTGCATCTCGCGCCGGACAAACCGGCGTAGGGGGAGAGCGCGCACCGGCCGATTTATTGCGTTGCACGTGTTTGGCACAGTGAGGTATGGGCCATTCATGCTGATGACCGTTTTGCTAAACGCTCCCGGGCTAAAGTATGCTAAAATAGTTCTGGTACACCCTACTCCGGCCAAATCTCGAGATCGATCAGCTCCGCCATTAAAAAATAGACAAATAAAAAGTCATGCTAAATAGTCAGACACAGAGTTTCACTGTTTCCATAGTTTCGACGAGCGGACTTGCCTTCGACAGAGCAGCAACATACCTTCGTTAGAAACGTGCTAACGTACTCTTCGATCACTCTCCCCCAACCACAGGAGTGAAGGCGGAAAAGAGTTAAGCTTATGCAAAAAAGAAAAAAAAAAGGATGCCATTCATCTTACACCGGAGTCACACGACGATATTGGATCGCGATCGAGCACGATCTGGGTCGAGTTGATCGACCGGAATCAGCTCCCTTCCAAGGCTTGCGCGAATGGGTCGATGTTAGCCGGCAATTTCGATCGCTATCGAAAGTCTTCTAAAAGACAGTATTAAACATTTATCGTTATAGGATTAGTATGACACCCCTTCTTCCCTACAAAAACGATCGATCATTTTTTTCAAGCCCGATCTCGAGAAGATGACATGGCATTCGCGAACGTAACTACAAATCAATGTCTAGGTCAATAAACGACTGCAAGCCGTACCAGATAAGCCATTTCCAGGCATGTGCAATCTGATTAAACAGCGCAGCTCGCAAGCGAACGCGCCGAGTTCGTTCTTTAATCATTAGTTCGCTCTTTACCTTTCTACGTATTCGTCTTCTTTCCCGATCTTCCTTTTTTCTCTCCTGACCATTCTTCTCCAAACCCCCGCATCCTCACTTCTATTTCCCACCTCCTCCTATACTATTCTGTACATGACAGTGTTATGGTTTACTCTCTCACAGCCTCCTCCTCACCCTGACATCAGTCCCGTTCACCCTTACCTCCCTTTTCCACAGGCTTGCTAAACTATACTGCTTTTCCCTCCTCATCCATACTTTCTTGCTCCTGGGTCGCCTCCCTTTCTCTCCCCCCCCCCCCCCCCCCCCCCCACCTCTAAAGCTGCTGGGCACATACTAACTGTATGCGGTGCATAACCATAATATTCTCTTCCTTACCCTATTCCCCCTCCTAACCTTTACTTCTCTTTCCCACCGCGTTATACTACGCACTGAAGAATCACAGATAGGTGGACGAGTTCCCTTTTCCTTTCAATATACTATGCATAACTATACTATGCTAGGAGCTGCTTTGCTCACATCCGCTTGCTGTGACACGTATCAACTGAGTTTTGCGCGGCCTATGCTACTCCAAGCTTAAGCAGTTCCGCTGTTGAAACATTTTGCATATTACATCCCTGTACTTCGAATAGTATACTAGAGCAGGCAGTTCCGCTGTTAGAAAGAATTTGCATATTATATTACTGTACTTCGAAAAGCATACAAGGGCGCACCAGCTCAGGCCGACGTCTGAAAAAATTCTCTCTCTCTCGGTACTTCAAAAAATACCGTCAGATAAATGTAACTACATAACGCTTGCTTCGATGCATGATGTCACATTCGCTATGGAGAAGTTTTTCCTCACATATTCGTGGGGAAGCCCATTAGTGTCAGGGAAAGAGCAAAAACTCATACCTGTTGCGATTTAATGCTGATTATGTTTCCGATTTCCTGCTCTGGTATCGTTTCTGAAGCTGTTTTGAATAGTAGATATCGACAATAATTATTCCTTTCGTGAAGATATTGTGTGACAATTCTCAGACTTAAGTTTCCTTCGCTGTCGTTTTACCGTACTTGTCCGACTTGATTCTCAACTACTTGAGCACCTGCCATCAATAGAGAAGAGAGTAAACTTTAATCAAACAAAATCACTATGTTGTTTGGTTGAAGCACACACACAAAGTGGCGAAATGATTTGCCTCACCAGTAACGCCAACCATATTTAGTTATTTCTCACATGGGTGGAAGTTGGAACTGCCAGTGCCTCCGCATCTCCTTGGAATAAAAAATGACACGATTTATTTTTTTTTTCTTGCTCTTTCGCTACCGTGGATGTATCAACGCTCGGCGGCGCATTATCACAACAGCTGTACGCGCGTCAGCGGGGCTGGTTGCTAATCAGCTCGCATGTGCCGACGTGAAGTGGCTCTCGAGTCTGCAGACACTGTCAAATTGGCAACCTTTCTTTTCGGCTTATGGTGGTTCGAGAAACACCTCCTCCGAAGATTGCAGGCTGTCCGATAAAGAAAAGGTGCCGCCCCGTCAAGAGCGAGACGGTCTATAAAAGAAACAAAATAAAACGAAACAACGAGGGCTCTTCGCGCTGTCTGCTTCACCACGCTGCCGACGCGAGCGCCCTGCGCGGAGCGAGAAGTGGCGCCGCCTTCAGGCGGTCGTGGGAAACGTCTGCTTCATCACTTCCGGTCAGTCACCCTCCCCGTGCCTCCCCCCCTCCCGCATGCCTCGCACTCGCAACCAACCGGGCAGGGCGGTTGGCAGTGCTAGGGTAGCTGTGCTTTTGCTTATGGCCATCGCGCCGTGTGTTAGCCCCCGTGCTGGCGCACTGCGCTGCAGCAGTTAGTTGTAGCAGCAAAGTGGTCGCACGCCTGCTCCCAGCGCAGCCACAGAATCGATCGACATCGGACATGCATGTGGAATTCTCCGGAGCAAAGGCGTTTCGATGGAACCGCATCTGTGAGTATCCGACGAAAAATTCGGGCCGTCCGTCCTGCGCCGCTGTCCATGTTTGCTGATGCGGCACCGCGCCCGCGTTCTTAATAATCAAAGGCCCGATCGCACGGGTCGTCAGAACACTGCCGGCTTCAACCTGTTTGCTTTGCTCATGCTGCGTTGCGTTCAGACCTAAATAATACCACACTGGGCGTGTGTCCTGTGGTTGTTTCGGTGCTCGTGCCTGGCGCTTGACAGAGAACGCGACTGTTTTCGTTAGTGAGATGCGTATGACCGCGTAGTTGTTAAAGCCGCTCCACTTTCGCTGTGGGAAGCCTGCGATCGTCCCAGTCTTTATCCTCGTTGGTGTGGTTAGGTTCCACGTTTACTCGGCTTTTCTCTCCTTACCCATACTACCAGGTGTAGTTAGTGCGTGTTTCTCCATGTGCTCTTTAAACGGGACACATTGCAGTGCTTCGGAGACAAGCGGACCGCGCGTAATGTCTCGCTGCTATTCTCCGAGCCGGCCCGGTTGTTCCGAATGTTTCTTTTTGAACAGCTATTTCGCACGCGCTACCGGGTTACGCAAGACCGGTCTAGGCCGCACATCGGCGGCTTCACGGCGATGATCGTCGGTGTCTACCGCATTTCGCGCAGAAGACATGATTGTCGCGAGACTCCTCTATGCGCGGTTCAGCCGGTGTCGAGGGCGTCGTGACAGTAGCAAGAGGAAAAAGACGGGGTGCAACGACTCCTCAAAAAGGTCCAATCGATCGTGGTCGGTGTGTTTCGCTGTCTGACAATCACGCTTCGCACTTTCGGAGGACCACACAAACGGTGCCTTGTCGGGGGAACGCCTTTCGCCAAGCGCCGGATGATGAGCTGTCCTCAGCTGGCGGAAAGCGAAAGAAGGCCTTCATCTGCCGCCGCTCCCACTGGTCCCAAGCCCTACAACATTTTCGAAGATCTCGAAGTGTTTGCCCACTTCGAACACTATCGCAGCGAGAGCTACGCTCAAGCCATCCACCTCATGTCTTCCCAGACGAGCCTGCTCTCCGACTCCCGACAGTCCTATGCGTCGTGCGCCACAACCCTGAAAGAGTTGTCCCTCAGCGCGCCCTCCTCGCCAAAGGGCGTCCACAGCGTCGAGAAGTCGTCCACGCTCCCGTCGACTTCGTCAAATGTAGCCTCCTTCGCGAGTCCCAAGAAGTCTAGCAGCCTTAGTCTGTCTAGCTTCTTTCGCAAGATATCGCCCCGCTTTCACAAGAACCGAAAGTCCAAGTCGAAACCCTGGATAGTGGTGGAGTTTTCGCAGAAGGACATCGAAGGCCAAGGCTTGGACCACGAGAGCATGGCCGACAGTGACCAGTCCCTGGAACTCGCACTTCAGGGCAAAGAGCGGTACATGGCTTCCCGTACCGGAAGCACAACCGGTCGTTTAAGTTTCTCAGGTAGTGGGAGCCAGTCGTCTCTGAATGCGTGGGTCAGGGCAGGTAAACCAAAGGCGTTTGGTCCCCTGCATCACGATGCTCAAAGACTGTTGGAAAAAAATTATGGCAACGTGATTGCCAAGGCACGTGGCTGTCGCAGCCAGGAATGGCTGCACAGCTCAAGATTGCCATCGAAGCCATCAAAGACGCCAGCGCGACCTAACCAGTGGCCTGCTTCGTCGTGTGCCAGTTCTCGACACAGCATTGGGTCACTAATGCCAACGGTAGTGGTGAACTCTCCAGGGACAGTTCCAATGGTGCTATTGGAAACGGGCTACTCGGAGCAGGTACTGGCATGCCTGCGAACGAGGCAGCAAAACAGCCTTTCCTTGAACGTGCCTCGTGTGAGAAGTTTGTGTACATCCTGCACGATTGTTCTCTTTATTTAAATTTTTTTTTTCGAAAAGTCCTGCACTCGCTCCGTGTCCACTTCTGAGTGAGTGGCCAAGTGTTCCGACTAGCATGCTGTATGCCTTCGGTGAAACAAAACAAGCATCGTCTCTGGGCATGTAGATTTTTTTTTATTGCTGTTGAACACGTAACCAAATTGAAGAAGAGCTGTTTCCTTGCCTGCGACCTGGGGCACGTCTTGCCTGTGTTAGTTTGCAAGCGACTCTTATACTGCTGTGACTGCATAATGTAATTGTTTAGTGCTGATAAGCAAGAATATAAGCATCTTGCGTGATTAAAAAGGGCTGCGTTGTGTTGAACTTATTGCTTCTATTGCATAGTAGTTTGTTTAGTCATTTATATACAGAGGTGTTGAGCATTTTGTTACTGTGTGGGGTGGCAAGTGATTTTTCTGCCAGGAAACTGGATTTACAGCCATTCAACGATGCTTTGTGAAGTAGTAGTGAGAGAGTGAGCTTCATATTCCCACTTAGTGGCCCTGGATGTGTGGCCTGTGTGTTGAAATAAATTTTTTTCAGTGACTGTTGCATCAGTCTATACTTATGGTGCACTTGCTTACATGTCTGGCATGGACAGAGATATGAATGCATGGAAATTACATTGTTTACAATGTGCATGCGAACTCGATTTTGTTGCTATTGGTAACCAATGGTACACAGAGTTCTCAAATAAGGGTTTTCCTTTCTTTACTGTTTAGATTTTTAAAATAATTATTGAATCTGTAGTAAAGAGAAACGTCTAAACTCTTTGAGTTGCTAGAATTTATTGCACACTGTTTTAACGCAATGTTTCTATGGAGAGAGCATATGCTACACCTACTCGAACATAATACCACGCTGCTGTAGTATACTGGAGGAATAAATGTTTATGGTTTGAAAATCATGTCAATGTGCAATTTCACCTTAGGTGGGAGGTCTCTTTAAAAAGTTCTGAAGGGATTTCAAGTTACAGCAATTCAAGTTTGAGCACACCTGTGTTAGGGAGTACATGTACTTCATTCCACAAATAGCAGTCATCACTTAGCAGGCTGTGCAAGAAGTTCAATAAGCAAAATGTATGACTCTGAAAATCTCGTAGGCGCATTTTGTTTTCGAAAGTGCGGTGAGAGCAAAGGCAAGCGAATGAAGCGTCGTCGTGATGCCTTAAATGAAAGACATAGAAACAAAATACTAGGAATTATGGAACAACATATTCATAGCCACATAAGAGTCTGTAAGACATGAGGACATAATTTCATTACTACGCATAATTTTTCTTTATCGCTTTGCAGTTGCAAAACAAGAATGAACTATTTCTTGGTGCAAACATCTACCGCTAGGTCTTTTGGCACCACAGTGTTGAGTGCTCTGAATAGAATTGAATATAGTCTCTTTAAACAATTTGCACCTACATTTTAGTGTTGTGAGAGACAGCATACATTGCGCACAAAACAAGCTTGCTGTGCACTGAATGTTACGCTTAGTTAAGTGCGATAGTCATAATTATTTTATTGGTGTTACTTTGCAGGAGAGCACGATCGAGCAGTCATTTGCCATACCTCACAGTTTGAGTGCTGGCACCGTTCTACTTACAGGGATTCCAGAGAAAAGGTGTGAAAAAGTCTTGCGAAATGGCCTTTGTCTCAAGAATGCTTTCGTTCTCTTTTGTTTTGCATTGGATTGTCCCAGCAGATGCATGCGTACATGTCTTTTATGTGAATAGCTGGCATAGCGTTGATTGAAGCTTGTCCCGAGTGCTCAGCATTCGATGGCGTGTGGAAGCCCCCCCTCTTTAACAATGCCTCATTGCAAATTCTGGCTTTTCACTCAGAGTTGTAAGAAGCTATCTGGGAAGTGTCGTGCAAAATGAATTTTCCAAATGAGTTCATCATTACATGTGCTAGAAAAAATTGGTGTGTCCATTACAAAGCCTTCAGGAGGCAAACTTCACTGCAACAATCTTCTTCATTGCTGTTGCTAGCATCCGCGAGCGGAGTAGCTTACTTGGATGCTCTGAAGTGCCAGAGGAGAGAGAGCACGTCATGTTGATGTGACGAGCCCTGCCTCCCTTGTTTTTTTCTTTCTGTTTCCATTTTCTTTTTTTGGCATCGGATGAAGAACAGAAATCGCATGCCGTGGTCATTCACATTTCACAGCAAATCCAGCAACGTATGTAACCCTGGACCATTTGTGGATGTTCGAACGAGTGCATGCCATGCAGGCACATCCACATGTTTTTCGCTCATTTCTAAAGCCTGGCAATGTTAAAAAAAAAGGGCCTTCAATTTTAGATTGTGAATGTTTTCATGCCACGCAGGTGTTTTCTGGTTTGTAGACATGAATGCTATGGAGTGATCAACCTCTGATGCTTATTTGATTGCTTTACTTAAAAGTGAGAAGCCATTTAAATGGCATCGCATTCCCAACTTCACAAAAAGTTCAGTGCAAGATCTCTGTCATGGCACTACTTGCAAGTGTAATAGAGCATTTCTGTTAAGCTCGAAGCTGGGAATTTCACATTGAAAGTCGTTCTGGAAACGGCAAAAGCTAGCTCGCTATCATAAAGCCCACAGTGGTAATTTCTGGGGTAGGAGTGCTCGTGCTGCTTCCAAGGCATGAGCTGCTAAGTATGAAACTGATTGCAGGCACACAGGAGTTCCACATGAGATCCCTGGCTCTTCGAGTCTCACACAATGTTGTGACCGCCCACCCCACATTGCATGGAATACAGTAGAGATGAAAAGTTTCATGTTGTTTCCGCTTTCTTTTGTTTTTTGTGTCCATGTGCGAGATGAAGTGTAGGGAGGCATCTGCATATCTTTTTAATGCGACAGCAGTAAAGAGCTCGTTTTGCAGAAATTCCGGTGTCGGCGTCGTTGATTGTGAGCGAAAGATCATTTTGTGCGTGACCAAAAAAATCAAGGAAGATGCAAATAAAATACATAATAAAAATATCGGGTCCAGTGTGGGGATCGAACCCGGGTCGTTTGCGTGTAAGCGGATGTTCTACCACACGGCCATGCCTCAGCTTGTGAAAACAGGGAGAAGAACTGCTTTGAAATGCAGTGAAAGTAGCTTTCATGCTCCACAGTACATGAAATATTGTTGTAATAATGCGTGGTACAAGGGTACATTGCCATCGGACATCAGAACTCCATGGTTTAAAGCCTGTCACCCACTACAAAAGACACTTTACCGCGCCTATTCCTCTAAGGTCACGAAGTGGGTGCATTGCAAGTGTTTGAAGTATGTACTAGGATGTCGCTATTGCATCATTCAACTCTTAAAGGCAAAGCTTAAGGATCTCCCCATATTTTTCTTTTTTTATGTCGTGTCGTGCATGTTAACAAAAGAAAAACACAGTTGTCGAGCTGTCTCCGACACTGAGCTCTTTCCAAACAGCTATTGTTTCAAATGCTGTCCCAAAGGAAGTACATGACGGATAGTGGCGTTGAGAAGGAAAAAGAAAACTAGGAATTTAAAAAATGCTGTTTCACCGGTTACCTTGTGTGGCGCCAATATACAAGTCCGTTCCTTTAGTTTCTGGGCGAGTAAAGTATGCAAAAAAAAAATTTATTGGAAATTTCAAAACTCAGGAACATGCAGCTAATGGAATTTTATGTAAAAGAATAGGTAACATTGCAATTCAGACATATATATTATGTTGGCTGTAGAGTTGATTGATATGTGGGGTTTAACGTCCCAAAACCACTATATGATTATGAGAGTTGATGTGGCATGAAAAATTTAATGTTGAAATACAAATGATATGAAAGGCATTGGTGATGCTGAGCTTAGTTACATTACAAAGTTTTTTTTTTTTTAATGGTAGTGTTTCAGTGTAAAAGAATGAGCTTAAGTTTGGCTTGTGAGGCTGTAGGTTCTTGGGTATCAAGATAGTAAACCTTTAAACAATATGTACAGTACATAGTGATAGGCGATAACCAGTTAATTTTAATGATGGCAGCGAACTACTGCACAAGTCGTAAGCAGGGAAGTCGTAATGAGGGATGATTATTCCTGATAAATACTATAAGATTGCTTTTAGGGTAAAGCAGCCTGCCAAGCTTTGCCTGTTTTTAAAGAAACCAGAATCCTTTATTCAAGCCTGCAATAACTGTTTATTTCTTTTTTGCTTGTGTGCCTCGCACAGCATTCTCGGTGGCTGCTAGACCTAATGGTATCATATGGATGGCCTAGAATTAATAGCCTAATAGTATTGAACTGTGCCAATTACATTATCAAAACAATAAATCCCCTTTTATTACCAGTTCTTTGCCTTTCAATATTCCATAGAATAGGTTTGTAATATTCAGTGCTCATGTGGTTTGAATTACTGAGTAATTTGCCCTCTTGCTGCCCATTGCCTGCATTCTGATTAGGTCAGCTAGTAGAGTGACTGCCTAGAAAAATTGCTGGTACCTGGTTCTATCCCCAGATAAAGATGAATTTTCCATTAAATTTGGAAGCTTTTCGTCCTGAGATATGTATGTGGATTTCCTTGCAACTTTGTGCCACCAATAAGTGGTTGCCACTTTCTCTTTCATAACCATTCTGCCACCTTGCAGGGTTCCAAATACCAGATTTGCAATGTTAAACTTTACATAAATCAATAGGTAAAAATTATACAGCGGAACTGGTTCGATTATGCCATCTTCAGCTGCAATGATGAACACAACAGCTTTGTTTTTTTCGACAAAAACTGTGCGTAGCATGGGATGCACATTTTTGTAGTGCGGGTGGTAGGTACTGCTTGCAATTGTTTCCATTTTCTTTATTGACACCACACAAAAATAACCTCGCTATGGACTGAAGACGTCGTGTTCGCACTATGTAACCACCTGGTGCAAAATCTCTCCATACCAAGGCATTTGCAACAATTGCGAGCTCATTATGACTTGGTGCCACATTGGTCACCTGTGATTTACGAGGCTCGAAAATGTTCTGTCATATAAGCTCGGTACTGGCAATAGTAGCACAGCCACGCAACTCCATGTCCAAAATAGTCGTAAAACTTGTGCAAGAGCTTCTGGAACCTGTTTAATCCTTTCATTTCCAGTTCCCTTCACGCACTACCAGTCATTTCTTCCATTCCGCGTTACCAATTTACACAGTTGCTGCATTTTGTTGAGAAATGACCACCTTACTAATCTCGCTGTACCTGATGCGGATCTTGTACTGCATGCTGTGTTCTCAAGGTATTGGGCCTTCGATGATGCTTTTCGTTCTTGTATAATAAACGACATGTTGGCTGCTTTGTAACGAACACTACCTGGTGAACGGCAACAAGTGTTTTAATGTAGCTATCGTGAGGGCATGCACCCATCCTGAGAGTACAGTCAAACCCCTTTATAAGAGGCACTATATAAGAGACAAATGGGTATAAAAGACAGCAGTGTGCATACTGTAAAATACAGGTTGATAAGGAAATGCATACAAGGTACCCTGCTTATAAGGGACAAGATAATGCTGTCCAGAGCGTGCCTCTTATACAGTGGTTTAACCGAATGTACAAAGCTGGTGCAAGCCCTTTTTATAGCAATATTTGAAAATGTGTAGCCCTGCTTTTTATTTTTTTTTCCAACGTGCTTCACTTACGCCAAGGCTAGGCAATTCATTATATGTAAAATGTTATTATTTCTAAAGCACAAGCGGTTGTGAGATCAGAACGGCTGTTTTTGGCACCTTAGTTGTCAGAGGCTGCCGGTTCCATAACCACTATTGCACAAAATTAAAGAAAAAAGCAGAATAACAAAAATATCTGGGATGGAATGGAATTGAAACCAGGACCCTCTCCATGCCAGCCCAGTATTCTACCACAGGGCTATCTATGTACGTGCTTGAAACTTGGTCTCGAAAAGACTGTCGTCTTTATGTCAGAATGGAACAGTGTTAAAGGGTTACTGACACAAAAAATTTGGCCTCGCGCTTTTCTGCAGCAATGCGTTGCTGTAGGGCTGTTAGTTATGACACAACACATTGTTTGCTGCAGCATGCGACGGATAATTAATTACACGCCCCTTATTATGGATCAGTTTCAGTTTGAGAGAGTTCCAGAAACTGGATGCAACTGTCGCCACCTAGCGTGTGCAACTCTTGACCACGTAAGCACACAGAACTGTGACGCACTTCTGCACAATCCGCATCAAGAATTACTTTCGAGTAGAAAACGGCACTGGAATGTTCCCAAGCACAAAACTTTCTCAGCCTGCACCACGGTCACGCACTCGCAACCAGCTGCCGAGAAATATAGATAACTAACGCGGCAAAAGAAAAATGGCGGCTCTGATGTCATCATAACTTGTTTTGTTGACCGCAGCGTGGTGACGTGAGGGAAGTAGAGGGTCACCTCGCGGTCACCTCAGAGGGCTATGGAGTCGGTCGCTCACACAAACTTCAAAATCAATTTAAGATAACTTCCAAGCTATATTCACTGTTTATATCTTGCAGATGATATACGAATGTTGACGAGAATTGACCCCACAGGCTATCTCGGCCCCGAAATTTTGTGTCAGTACCCCTTTAACATTGACATGTGCAATATAGAGTGGTAGAAGAGCAAAATAGCCGGCAGGCATCACAGATTGTGAATTGTGTGACCGGTCACCACACAATGCAAATTGCGTAACCAGAGGGTTGTTGAATTCTTTTAATCATTTAATAAAAGGTTGACCATAACTGTTCTTGGTTGTCCGGAACGGTTCTTCGTTTTCATCAGCCATCACATCAACAATGTGCACATAATGCCTTGCAGATATATACCCGGTACCTCTCTAATTCACACAATGTCGAATAATGGCCCACTGGGTGCTTCCCAACTTGGCAAAAATTATTACCTATGACGTAGCGGGTACTTTGAAAGTTTTGCTTGCAGGGTAGCCCCGAGAGAGTTTATAACGGCTATGGAAAGCCACTCTTGCAGCTTTCGCTTTGACTGCGTGGCACTTTCCATGCAGGCCTGGCACTTCTTAGTGCATCGCAGACCTTGAACATTGTGTGAGCACACTAACTGCTTCAACTTAGCGATTAACTTCGTAACTTAAATAGCCCTTTCAGCGCCGACCTGAGAAAACTCTGGCAATGACGCCTGCTAATCCCTAGTGTCCTGGTTCCACCTCTTTATGTCACTCCCTGCCGCTCAAAAAATTAATGTGGGCGTGTCCCGCCCTCCATGGAAAGAACATATAAACAAATATAATTTGTGCGGAAATTTCTGACAAACGCATGCTTTCGCATCAGCTGTTTGTTTGTGTCTCTTTGCCAGCCATGGCGATTCAGCAAGTGTTTACTACTTAGCAAATGAAGTTCTGGAGTTATTGATGAGTTGAGACTTTGAATAAAATGAATAACTGGTGACTCAGCACCTATAAATTACTTGCTAATTGTATGACTTATAATTAGCAAGCATATGTAATTAATTTGCAAGTGCTAGTGTTTATTGGATGGTCACCTGTGTTTTTTACACTACTGACTTTTTCATGTTTACGTTTTACATGCGATTACACAGATAATGCGCTTGATCGTGAATGCAGATATTTGGAACTAACACACACGATAGTGTTTCACTTGCCGTATTCATTGACAGGTACCAATTTATCACATGGTGTCAACTCACAATACCCTGCGCACTTGTGCCTTTGGCTAACTTTATGGTGTGGCTTGAGGTAGTATAGCGTAATGTTTGGAGCTGACAGGTTGGACCCCATTCTTGCGGATGCTGCATGGCAGGAGGGCGCAGCCCCCGCAGTCCCTGCACCTTCCAAGGCCAGAGGGGAGACCTCCAGGCGCCCCCAATGGAACGGTTGAGTGTACGGGTGCCGTCGGCTGAATCAATAGGTGCCTGTTCGCTGGACGTGGATGCAAGCGAGTCTTCAGCACGGCCAATGATGACCAAAGAGGCATCGGAAGTGACCCTTCGCAGCATGGTCATGTCTACCCGCGAGAGCTCGTCTGTGGCAGCGAGAGGGTCAGTGAAGACACCTCTTCTGCAACGAACACGGCAGGATCCTGCTCATGTGGCTTTGTGGTGTTTGTGTGTGGCCCTCTCTGCACCCTTACTTTTTCTGAGATGCACTGCACGATTACATCTTGCCTCACCTACCCATAGTGCCTGCTGCCTATCTTGGAACAAATGCTTTGGGCTAGATACCTTCCTACTTTAGCCAAAAATAGGTCCATGTTAATTCATTTGTGCACCCCTGTGTGGTCTGATGCAAGCCTCTTGTATTCCATAAACTCCCTACATCTTGAGTTATAGTGCTGGCCCATGTGTATTCCACTTCACAGGAAGTGATAATTTTTTATATAAAGCCAACTATATTCCGAGTACAGATAAAAAAAGGCCGTATGCTTAGTTACCATGTGCTCATCCTTCACTGTTCATAAATGCATTTCTCTTTCTTTATTCAATACTGCAGAGCTTATACAGGTCCAAGCAGCGTAGCTACCACATAGTAACTTGTACCGAGAACACACACAGAGTAATAGGTTTGCCTGTAACACCTGTAACCTTTGAGATTCCTAGTAAAATCCAAGTGACTTTTCCTAGGCATCTATAAATTAGGCCGAGTACAAAGTTGAGATGTTTGTATACATTGTGGTTATGGAGTCAGTGTAACGATCTTGGGGAAGTATACAATAGAAGACACTTTCGTATTGAAACTTTGGCTTCATGTTTCAGCCATTTCAGAGAACTTGAAAGTGATCGTGCTTTACAATTTTGCTGTATACTGGTTCTTGCAATCATTCAGGTAATGCAAAAAAAAAAAAACCTTCCGGCTGTTGGTTGTAACATTTATCCAGAACAAGTTTTGAAGAGTAGCAGGGCAAAACTATCACATTTCACACCTTTCTACTCACTGGTCCTTACTGCAATGAATAATGAACCAAGTTTAGATTTCTAGTTCACTGGCAATGTACATTTTTTTGAATGAAACAGAGTTTCAGATATTTTGTATGGAATTGTAGCTCCATGGAAAGGACCTGTTACTTTATGTTTACCTTTCTGAGCACCACGTCTTTTTTCCTCACACTGAACTCCGGCATCTTGCCTTCATTGTCTCTAGTTGTCTGGGGAAATGCACTTGTCCACTTTTTGCATGCCAGTGCTTGCATCTTGTGGTGGAACTGTGTTATCACGATTTTGCACTGTGAATGTTTTTCAGCCGTTTAGATGTCGCACTGTGTGCTGTACATTCCGAGGTTTTCATCGTTGCTTGCCTGTTCGTCCAAGTGCACTGATGGCAATTTTTATTCAGCAGCAGTCTGCCTCCAATGTGATGCGATGGAAGCGTTTTGTCGAGCTAGATTTGCAGTATGTGTTACGATTGCAGTGACAACATGCTCAGGAAGCCAGAAGGGATGCAATACAGCAAATTCAATTGGAAATATCACCTTCATATTAACCTGCAGCTGTGGTTATAGTATGGGCAGTGAACTGGGCTAGCTTACGATTCTTCAAAGCAAAGTGCACCCCCTGCATCTCCCAGTAATGCTGATGCATGCAACTACCATTGACAGACTCCATAAAATTGTTTTGGTAAAGATGGGATTGCAAGTTTATCTCCCAGTGATAAGTGTGCTAGGGCAGAATGCAAAAATACTTGCAAGTTCAACTTTTTGCAGCGCATGAAATAAGCTTGTCCAGGTAAAATTATACCCACCGTCTCTCTCAGATATCCAACTTTTTCAGGGGATTTTGAACATGGCTAATCAGTCAACTATTCTATGGCTAATGCCCAGTTTACAATTGCATTCAAGCGGGAGAGTAAAAAATTGTACCAAGAATGTATATCAAATTTAGCTTTAATAAAAAGGCCTACATATAGGGAAAATGACACGAAAGTTAGCATAAAATCCATGAAAGCAAAGGTTTGGCATTGGATTTTTGCGCTTCAGTTTATAATTTCAAATCTCCAGTGACAAGTGTCTTCAGATGTTGATGTCATTGGGGTGCATTAACATTGGTGCTGAAAAATTGTGTGTTGTGCAATTCTACATGAATGTGGACTGACTGCTTGTCTCTGTCTGCACTGCATGTCAAATGAGTGTCTTTCGTTACCTTTTTAATATGTTCACGGCACAATGTACCCTTCACATGCAGTATTGGCACATTATATTTTCTAGCACTATTTTGTACTACCACACTTTGTCTTGCTTGCTGTCCTCACTGCCTTCTAGGGTTCCAGAGAGCTGCAATATTGTCTAGCATTCCTTTTCGTGCAATTTCTCAGAACTTTCTTCGAGCATGTGTTTCTTGCACTTACAATTTACAAAACCAGTAAATCGGATGTGACCTTTAAATGCTTTTGCGAGACAAGTGTGACATGCTTAAGACAAGTGTAACATGCAGCCACATGCTTAATTTCAATGGCCGTTGACTAGCTGTTACGCAAATCTACACGCCCTATTGACTTTTTCTAGCGGGCTCGCACAAAGGAGCCAGTAATGCTCGTGCAATTTCAGTAATAATTGAAAGTGAGCGTGTAACTGAAGCATGTACAGCCGCAGCCATTCTTTGTAGAGCGCATCAGCAGCGGGCTTTTGCTCTGCGGAGCAACACCTTGGTACAGTTTCGGCCTCTGACGTGATCAGCCCGACTACCAAGCTGCACGTGCTCCCGACTCACCACGTCGGAGCACGAAACTGCCTCAAGGTGTTGCTCTGCAGAGCAAAAACCGACTGCTAGTACGCTATACAAAGACATGGCCGCAGCTGTATTAATCAAGCTTGTGTATTATTTTGTTCAGTAACCTTGTGTCCTTTGGTTGCAAGTACATCACACCATGCATTAGCGACTATAACATTGGAAACTGTCAATGGAAATCGCAAATAACTACTCGTAAAGCAGGATGTAGAATAAGGTACTAAGAAATCTCTGTGACAGGTCTTTGTCCTGTAAAATGGCTTTCTCAGTGCTCTCACTGTTTAAGTAGTTTGAGTAGTTTCAATGTCCAAGTAGTGCAGCTGTTAAGCTAACCTGATTCATACCAGACGCACTCGCGTATGCGAGCGCACAGAATTGTCATAATCACATAGAGGCAAGGGATAATAATGAGAGACACATTGTTTGTGGCTTTAGTATTATTTAATTGAAAGACAGACATGGAATAAAAGCAACAACATTTGATCTTAAGGAAAGAGAGCTGCAAGTAATGCCCCACACACTTTCCTTAAAACAAGTTACTCGGTATCCTCATTAACTGCCATTACTATTTCTTTTGCAGAGCACTGGACAGCAACGTCTCGCAGTTGTCAAACGGCTGCTGGAACATTGGCGGAAGCACTGTAGAATCGCTGACCACCAAAGTGCCAGAACACCGACCATCCTACCTTGGCATCAGCTGTGCCATCAACGGGTACACGAACTACAGCCAGTTTTGCCGTAGCCGCGACAGCAGTCCCGCCCGTCTGAGCCCCCGCACCACAGCCCCACACTCTACAAGCCCCGGCAATCATCTCAAGGTGGAGCCCATTCTGGAAATCAAGGCCAGCAATGGCCGTGGGGAGCTCACGAATGGCCGCCGCCATCACGGACCCCAGGAGTTCTCGGCAGCGCCCGAGCCCTGTACATCTCTCGTGCAGCAACGAATTGCCGCACTATATGGATCGGAAGCGGCAGAGAGGGTGGCGCGCACCCGAACACGAACGGCCAAGAGCCCGCTCAAACTGGAAAAAGCCATCTCAAAACGTAGCCCGTCCTGCCCCGCACAAGTGGTCCGCGGCCGTTCCAAGAGCCCACCTGTGTTCAGGCACCTGACACGCGACTTCAAGGAACATCTCCGTTTCTCAGAAGTGTCCGCCTCGCCGGCCGAGAACTTGCCCGGGTTCATTTCCGCAGCGTCGCGTCTCCCTCATTTGGGCTCGCCCGTAAAACGAGCTCCTTTTTTGGCAACATCTCTGCGCATCTGTGATGTGGACAGGGGTGACAGTAGTGCACTCAAAGTAGACGTCCTCGAAGAATCTCGGAATTGCCAAGTTGTCAATGGCGGCGGTGCACAAAAGCTCAACGGGAACCACGCTGCTGCTGTTGATGAAGGTAAATGGCAGGCAGCATGCTTGCTTGATTTGCTGTGGCCTTTGGTTTTCCACTACAGACAGCATGCTTCAAGACACCACCTCATTTGTTAGCTGCTAAAATGTACCATATTATTGTCCTAGGGCTTTTAATATCTTAGGCTGCATTAGACATTGTTTTGTTAAACTGTCATTAGCTTCTGCTGCACTCCTTCTGACAGTAACATTGGTGAAGGTCGTATGCTCAACGTCCTGGGCTTGAACATAACACCTTTCTTTGCTCATACCAATAAACTCCAACCTCAATATAACGAAAACAGATATTTAGAATTAATAGTTATAACAAACTAATTGAAGAATAGTTTTGTAATAGATACAGTGCTACAAATAATTAATTTTCGGATATAACAAAGTATTTTGTGGCAAGTGCAACTGTTATAGTGAGATTTAAGGGGAAATGAGAGTCGAAAAACAACTATATTCCTAAAGTTACATTTGTTTTATTTGGTTTGATAAGTATAATTTCTCTTCTTTCACAGCAAGAAAACTGCAGATTGAAATTCAGCTCGAAGTAGGTTGATATCGCTTTTAAAGAGGAAAAGGTGGCTACTAAAAAACAGGCGCTCATTGTCTAGGGTGCCATGAAAATTATCACCTGGCTACTTGCCATTGCATTTCGCTTGAAGAGTTCCCTAACGCCACATGCTCAAAATAACCATGATTTCCAAGCTCTTATGATGGAAGAAAACGTGTTGAAAGTCTAATCTTTTCTACATGGATGAGCTTTCACTCATACCTTTCAAATGCGTTTTTCACAAGATCCATTTTTGGGCAACTTCTCGAGTTTAGACATCATGCCTTCGGAATTTCTGATAGCCCTATCAGGATGATATTTCGCTTACATATTCTTCGGCATGTGAAGGTTGCAAGTATCTCCTTCAAAACATGATATCACCTATATAATTATAGGGAACCTAAGCTGAACCATTTGTATGGGCTGAGGATTCTAGGCATTCTCACATTACAATTTTGTTGTCCATTAGAATGCCTTGTGTGCACTTTCTTGAGAGTTATTTGCATTTAACGGTTGATGTAGAGCAACATGAGTTATTATTGGCTGAGAACCATAAATGTTTAGTGACATAAAAAATTTTTCCAAAACCAATTACTATATATTACACATTAACATAGAATAAAACTTAAACTGTTCAGCTTACTATAAAACTAATTACATAATTGAAATCAGCATAAAATCTCATACATATACAACAAAAATTTCATTGCCCTAGCAGATTAACCCTTTCGCTACGAACCCATAGGTCATCGGACACGGAGTTCCGATGATTTCAAATCTCCCGCAAAAATTGAAAACTCGCGTTTTACGGACATGTAGCGCCATCTAGCCCAAGCCTGGGCAACCCACTTTTCATTTTCACCTTTCTTGGTTTACATTTCGCCCGCTGAGCCGCGCCCTCGTGTGCAGTTTCGATATGTGTGAAGATATGTTTATCGATATGTGTGAAGAACAGCAACTGGTAATAGTTAACCGGGAACATAAATGCGACGGGCAGATAACGTGGCAAAACGACAGTAGACAGTCTTGCATAGACTACGGCCTGGTCTCAGAGCACACGTACGAGCTGTTGAACCAAATGACGATAGATGAAGAAGGAAAAAACAGTCTTGGCAGCGACCACAGGCGTATAATCCTGAAATTTGACAGTGGGGGGGCTAGGAAGAAAACACAGGAGGTTGGGCTCCCGAAAGTAAGCGAAAAGCAGATAGCAGACATCGTCAATAGCATCGAAAGAGAATTGGAAGCACAGCCAACAAAGGTGTGGGAATATGACGCGGTTGTTAGTTGTATACAAAAGGAAATAAACAAAGTAAGGAAAAAAAACCGCTGGAGGGGTAAACGGAAACCACGAAGCTGGTGGGACAAGGAAATTAAACTGGCTATTGAAGAGCGACGACGGGCCTCTAGACTGCACAGAAAAGCAAAGCAAATGGGATATCAGGATGATGAGGTGCAGTTACAGTGGAGCCGGTACCGAGAAAAGAAATTTGAGGTGCAGAAACTAGTACAAGCGAAGATTAAAGCCGCGAGTGAGAAATGGGTATCAGACATACACGTAAGAAGGATAAGAGCGCCCCCCAAAAATTCTGGAACCATTTAAAAGCATTGGGAACGACAACTAAAGAGATGCAGACTCAGATACAGGACGGGGACGGTAACGTTCTCCTGGGGGACAGCGCATTAGAATACCTACATGGAGTCATAGGAAATACTTTCGGCCAAGCACGCGAGAGGTCGGCTAACTGGACACAGGTGGCAAATAAAAGAGTGGCAGATGAAAAATTTAATATCCAATTTTTGGACTGGAAAAAGGCAGAACACAGTGTTCCCAAAAGTACGGCAACAGGACCGGATGGAATCCCGATAGAGATTATCAACCATTTGGGACCAGCGGGACAGGCGCACTTGTATGGAGCCATCGAGCGCGCTATGAAATCCAAGAGGATTCCTTCGCACTGGCGCGAAAGTAGAATGAGTTTGATCTACAAAGGCAAGGAAGAAAGGGACAAGGCGAGCTGTTACAGGCCGATTACAGTCACGTCAGTGCTCTATAGATTAGCTATACAAGCCATCAAAGCCGAGTTGTGTAAGTGGGTTAAAAGTAACGGTATTTTAGGGGAACTTCAAAATGGATTTAGGCCGGGTCGACGCTTGGAAGACAATCTTTTCGTCATATCCCAGACCATCGAAATTTCGGCAGCACAGGGCAGACCAACATGGCTACTGTTTCTGGACATAAAGGGTGCCTATGACAACGTGGACAGGGGATTGCTGTGGCATATACTGTAAGAGGAGGGGATTGGGTCGGAATTTGTAGGGCTGCTAAGGGCAATATATGAGGATAACAAGGCACACATTACATGGGAAGGGCGTACATACACAGAGCCCGTGTACATTCAGAGAGGTTTAAAACAGGGGTGCCCTCTTTCGCCATTGCTGTTCACACTGTACATTAGAGGAATGGAAAGACGACTAGAGGAGAGTGGATTGGGCTTTGATTTGTCACACCGAAGCAATGGAGTGTTAGTGGAGCAACGGATTTTGGGATTGATGTACGCAGACGATATAGTGCTGCTGGCGGATAATGCGGAAGAACTTCAAAAACTGGCTGACATTTGTGGTGATGAGGCAACGTACCTAGGCCTACATTTTAACCCACAGAAATCTGGAGTCATGGTGTTCAGCGAGGAAGCTCATGTAGCACCAATAAGGATACAACAGGAAGCCATACCATTAGTAAATAATACAAATACTTGGGGATCTGGCTTAATGAAGGAAAAGGCTACCTGAATGCTCATGAAGAACACCTTAAACTGAAAGGGAGACGAAATGTAGCAGTAATGAAATATAGAGCACTTTGGGGATACAATAAGTACGAGGTAGTACGAGGCATCCGGAAAGGGGTAATGGTGCCGGCGCTCACGTTCTCTAATGCCGTATTATGCTTAAAGTCAGATATCCTGTCGGGGCTGGAGGTTAACCAAAAGGCAGTCGGCAGGTTAGTTCTGGGAGCTCACAGTAAGACTACAAACGAGGCTGTACAAGGCGATATGGGTTGGGCTTCATTTGAGGCGAGGGAAGCACAAAGTAAAATACGGTTTGAGGAGCGACTTAGACATTTAGATGAGAAGAACTGGGCAGCCAGAGTGCACAGGTACCTGTACCTGAAAAGTGTGGACACCCAATGGCGGAAGAGGACGCGAAAGCTGGCGACTAAATATAACTTGACCGCGGCAAATAAACAAAGGGGGCCAGTTAAAAAGCAAGTGAGGGAAACAGACGCTCATGTGGAAAGAGAGGATGGAAAAGAAGGGATCGCTGGGAATCTACAGGGCAAGCAAACAAGAGATCCGGAAAGAGAACTTTTATGACAACAATAAAGGTAGTGCGTTGCTCTTTGAGGCGCGGGCTGGCTGCTTGAGAACTCTAACTTACAGGAGCAAATATTCGTCACAGGATGAGACATGTGTTGGATGTGGCATAAATAAAGAAACAATCGACCACATAGTCATGGAATGCCAAAAGATTCAGCCGGATAGAAATGGGGGGAAAGTCACACTTCCTGAGGCGCTGGGCTTCGCGGTTGATGGAAGCATTAACTGGTCAGCAGTAGGTATTACTAAGCAGCGGCTGGAGTATTGGTGGAGGAAAAGCAGAGAAATCGATAAAATAACATCCCAGCCAAGAGTAGCGGCTGGGCAAAATTAACAAGACATCCGAGTTGAGGGACAAAATTTAAACTCGAACTATTAAGGTAGGCTAGATGGCGCATGCTGTCACCCCGATTCAAAGGGGAGGCCTTTAATCATCATCATCATGATGAATGGAATCCAGTTTTGTTTTACGTGAGAATGGCCGCCACTCCCCGTCGCCCGCTGCGACAGCCGATTGCTGTTGCAAGCACTTCGGCCGCTTCTACCGACGATTTTTTCGATCCGAGTAGTGCAAACGACTCGAGTGATGATTTTCAAGTTTCAGAGCAGAGTTCCGACGATGACACTTCAGACCAGACGCCTCAGACTTCCACAAGTACTACCAAGTAAGTATCGTTTTTGACTTCGCACTGCTTATGAAGGAAAAATGCTCTTGATATTTGACGATAATGGTATCCTTTCCTTGCTTAGGGTCTCAACAACGTACGGCAAGGATGTTTTGCCAAATCCAGCACGCCGTATGAAGTTTTCACCCGTAAGACAGCCTGGTGCCCGTCTTGCAGCAGCGCTACGGAGTGACGTGCGTCGCTTCTCAAGGGCGCTTGATTTTTTTCTTTTGTTTTTCACAACGGAAGTGCTCCAGACGTTATGTGACAACACTAACAAATACGTCTGGATGCGTATTTTGGACCGGCAAACCTACGCTCGCCGGGACGGCTCCTGGGAAGAAGTAATGCCACTAAAGATGCTGAGGTTTTTCGGACTTATCATCTACATGGGGGTTGTTGATGTACCACGGCTCCACATGTACTGGCGGACGACGAGGATATTTTCAAGCCTTCTCCGACCAAATATTATGAGACGGGATCGATTCTTTGCACTTTTAGCTTTCCTGAGCGTAGGGGACCCGGAAGATCTTGCGGCTGCAGCATCTGATGGGAAAACTTGGAGGGTGTCATGGCTCCTGCGACACATAAATCTGCAGTCACAAAATTTGTTTCAACCACAGCACAACCTTGCCGTGGATGAAGGCATGGTAAAATCAAAAGCGAGGTCAGGAATCAGGCAGTACATTCAGGACAATGTGACGAAATTCGGATATAAGCTGTGGGTGCTGGCGCGTTCGAATACCGGCTATACAATACATTTTTTTGTGTACACTGGAAAACGCGAGTACCTAGACCCCATGGATTAGCGTTTGACGTTGTGACTCGGCTTTGCACAGAGTATCTTCATCAGGAATATAAAATTTTTATGGATAACTTTTATACGTCGGCAAAATTATTCGAACACCTCCTTGAGCACAAGACGCTTGCCTGTGGGACCACTCGCAAAGATCGTCGGGACTTCCCAAAAGAATTGAAGGATGCTACGTGGGAAAGAAGGGCGCAGCGTGGGGACGTTCGCTGGATTCGGGAAGGCAACATCCTTTTCATGGAATGGAAGGATCGACGTTCTGTGTGTCTGATGAGCACGATGCACACAGCAAATAAACATGTTGCTGCTAAAAGGAGAGAGAAAAGGGGGGGCCAGTGGGTTGTGAATACCATAAAGAAACCCCTCCTTGTTCATGAGTATAACACCGGAATGCTCGGCGTGGACAAGTCCGACCAAATAATTGCCACGTACAACGTACTCAGAAAGTGTGTAGGTCGGTGGAAAACATTGTTTTTTCATGCTGTGGACATTGCGTGCGTAAATAGTTTTATTTTATTTCAGGAGCACCAAAAAGAGAATCCAAATGTCGAAGAACAATTCAGAAACAGGAACTTTGACCAATTGGCGTTCAGAGAAGAATTGATTCACCAGATATTTCGATACGATGAAGTTTCTCAAGAACACGCCCCTTTCTCACCCCCCCCCCCCCCCCCTTCTCCCCTCGAGATCCTGTTCGGCTCCAGCCGAAAAGAATGGAGAAGAGAAGAAACTGCAAGCTTTGCTACGAAAACACAAAACAGAACGAACGTATTCTGCTCGACCTGTAATATTTACCTTTGCTTCCTGCCTTCACGAGACTGTTTTGCTGAGTGGCACAGTCGTCGGGGCCAGTAGGTTGATGGGCCGAAAAAAATTGTTGATATGCTGCACTGAATTTGTGTTTATCTAGAATGATAGCTAAGAGAACTAGTAATAATTTCAGATTTCTCAAAATAATTTTTTTGCTCTCTACATTCACTAACTTGTGAAGTGCTTGTATAACTTTTTGTATGTTTTTTGTTATTTAACAATAAATTTTCCAATTCTATAAGTTTCATACCAAAGTGTTTTATATGTATAAAAGGCCAAATCAATAAGCTACCATTTCATATATTACAATGCTACATGTTCCTTTTTTGTCAAGAGTAATAAAATTTTTTGTGAAAGCACAAAATAAGTGTCGTTTTTCCGCCATAGCGAAAGAGTTAACCCAACTATTTTTTTTTTCGAATCGCATGTTCCCTCAATTGTGCATTTAAATAGCACTTTCGCACATGCATTTTACTAGTGAAAATCGCTGCCTGATAACACTCACCCCTTGCTAATGACAGTTTCCATGGGTTAGCATTTTGCTAACATGTAAGCTGCTTCATTTTTAACCGTTGTTTCTTCTGTGTATTCTTTTTTCAAGCCACAGCTAGTATTCTTGCATCTTCCCCTTACTAGCATTCTGTAATGTTACGGCTGAGGTATACTTAAACAAACAAAAATAATAAAATGGTAAAGCTTTTGCTAAGCCATGCAAACCTTGAAACAGCGAAACTAGGCGATTCTGTGGACTAGTCTAGTTGCTTCTAGGCCTGATGATTGTGTGGACTAGTCTGGTTGCTTCTAGCCCTGAGCTTGGTGGTGCATGTTGTATCTAGGTAGCTTCTAAGACATTGCTATGCTTTCAATAGGCTGTTTCAACGTTTATTCACAGCACAGAAAGGTTCAAGACGACGAACAATCTCAGACATGACACGGAACTCTTGAAAGCAAAGACTCGGCTCTAGGCCATGCATGCAGTTACAAACCCTATGGGCACTTGTAAGCCTAAAATACAATATTGGCAACTCGTGCGCTGTAGAGACTACACTCCTGTCCCCTTTCTTGCTTTGACAAGCGGACTTTTTGCTGTACAGTGGCGAATGGTTCAACTGTATTCCACCCGTCTCATCATGTTTTTCTGCATGCTGTCTTATCCAGTAACCCCATTCCACTGGCACTGTAGAGGAATGTTAATATTATGTGGTCTGAGCTGACTGGGTAGCAGTGTCCGTGCTGTCATTCTATGTACCGAGACATTTCCCCTGCAGTTAGTGTTTATGCAGTGTGCTGGTTTTATAAAGTGCTATGGAAAAGTAAGTCTGATTTTGTTTTTGTTTTTTTCTCAGGAAATAATTTGTCATGTAAAGAGCTGACAGGATTCATGGAATGAGCACGCAAACACTCAACACACAAATGAGTAAGGCAACAAGTGCAGTCTTGCTTGAATCTCACTCGTCTGCATTCTGTGTGTTCACGCACTAAAACCATGGTTTTATACTTACCGTGTTGGTCAGCAACTTCCCTCTAGTTTAAGACGACTTTGCCACGTTGTTTTTCCAGTCGACAAGGCATTGGATTTGCCTGTCGAGATGGCACCCACACAACACGTGTCGTCACTCCTCTCCCCCGTGTGTACCAAGGCGCTCTCGTCGTCAGACCTGCCCGTGCGGGAGGGCCACATGTTCCTTGCCACCCTGTCGAGCACACAAGAGGTCCTCGAGTGTCACATCAGGGAAGCCGAGCGGGACCTGAAAGAGGCTACCCTCTCGGAGGACATGAAGGGCCGGATACGGGCAGCTATCGGCAAGGCCAACCTCCTCATCAACAAGAAGTTTAAGCAGTTCAAAGAACTCTGCCTTAAGAACATTGTGAGTGCATCGATGTTTGTTGCTGTATATTGGCATGTAGAGCCTCAAAGCTTCGCATTATTCCATGTCCGATAAAAATTGAAAGAAACTGCACTCAATTCGAATGTTTCATTTCCAGCACTTCTTTTCTTGTGCTGTGACTCAATTTGCTTTTGGAATTTATGCAGGACAGGAGCTTTGTCAAGCCGCATATTGTGGCTTTTCTTCCGTTACTCCCATATTTCTCTACTGGGAGTACTCAATGGACTCTCAGTAAACAGAGCTTTTAATGCTGCCTTCCGTGTGATTGGTTTTGCACTTGAACTGTGCATTCGTGTTCGTCTCTCAATAAAGGGAACGAACAACATTTTTTCGTTCTCTTCAGGTTTCCTTTAACGAGTGTCTATGGTATATACGAACAAAATGAAATTGAAAGTTATAAAATATTATTCAATAAAAACGCAATTGCCTGATCAATAATTTGGGCAGCGTCGGTACTCTCCTCTAGCACCAATTCAATATATACACGTGTGAGTGGTGATTTAGACCATTTCACAGAGCCTCTTGATTATTCATACACTGCCAGTAGATGCAAGTTAAGTCACCATTCAGAACTGAAACCTAGCTCCAAGATGTTTAATGCTACTCGGCCTAGCAAGAACATATTGACAAACTGGTATGGTTGAAGAACTTGGTTATTGATGCACTGCACACATTCCAGTCTGAACTTCTTTCTCTTAATCAGTCTTCATCTTGACTAATTCATTAAGCACTAAGCACAATTTTCTTCTTTCCCTCATGGTCACGGAATCGAATCCCTGCCATCGCAGCCGCATTTTGTTGGAGGTGAAGTGCTAGAGGCCCTTGTGCTTAAATTCAGGTGCACATTAAGGAGCATCACAATGTCAAAATTTCCTAAGCTTTTCACCATAGCGTCTCCGATAATGATATTGTGGTTTTGGGACGTAGAAACCCAAAGAGTTATTAGATTATTACTATTTCTTTCCACCTGTGTTCACATGTTTTACTTTTCGGTGTATGCAGTGGTATGGTTTGCATCCTTGCTCACTTGTGGCTGTTGTATGTAATGTTTCTGTGGGCACATTTTGTGATGCATTGGTTGCACACGTCACCGTCATGAGGTCACACTGGGAGCTGAAGGCCTCGACGCTGCGTCATTGCAACCTTTTACTTCAATCTCTACCATTTTTTCGCAACTACTTTCCATGGAAATTCGCTCATTGATTTTTTTTTTTTTTCAATATCTTTCTAGGACCAAAATGTTGATGATCCTTTTCCAACTACTGGATCTGACTTGGCTGGCTTTTGGGATATGGTCATGTTGCAAGTTGACAATGTTCAAGCATTGTTTGAGGAACTCAATGTGCTCAAGGCAAACAACTGGGTTGAACCTGCTAAGACGGTGAGTGCAGCTATGTCACTGTCGTGCTGCCTTTTTTTTTTTTTTTGCCACCTTATAAGTCATGTCTGTTGGTTAATTCACAGAATCACGCTTCATTTTCTCGCTGTTAAGGCAAATTTTGTTAGTCAAGGCCCTTCACATTGCTATGTAGCCACAATGTGCTTCAACAGGGTGCAGCAGTCACTCATAATGATTTATCACTGCAGACGCACAACAAGATCGCTTTTGCAGTTTCAACCATGCACCCGCAGTTGCTTTGAGAGGCTGATGAAGAAATGGGCTTTCGGTTTATTTTATTAATTGTTCAGTGCTTTTTGTCTTCTGTACAAGTGCATGTACGAGTGCAGGCAGGGTGCGTGATGATACATTATGCTCCATAAAGCGAAAAGGCAGCCCAGACGTGTTGCAAGATATTGAAAGATTATTGACTATAAAAAATGGCTACTTCTGTTCAATTTCATAATACTTGCACTCATCATCACCTTCCAAATTTTTTGTGAAATATTACGTTTCGTGGTGCTCTCTTCCCGTTCCTTTTCAGCGGCTGTCTGTGAAAAACGCGAAAGACATTTGGTGATCGCACCACGTATTTTTATGGCGTGCACATGAATCTAGTCAATTGCTCCACTGTTGCGAGAAAACTATTTTTGTTTTCTGCATCAGTGAAGGACACCATGTGGCATAAACAAAACAGATACCTACAGGTTCACAATGATGCAGTAATGTACCGGTACCAAAGCAATCCATGAAAAGTATTCCGTTTTATTGTTCAGTTCCTGCCTGATGAACAATAGGTAGCACGTAGGCAGGATAACCACTTGTAACTGACTGGATTCCAAGAGAAGACAAGCTCGTAAAAGAGATGGAAAGTTAAGTGGAACTATGAAATTGAAAGCATGGGGCTGGGCAAATTTGAAGAAAAGATCACTTTTTAGATGCGAATAGCGGGGGCTGTGTTTGTCCCCCACTTCTATCCTGCGGCACCCACACCCCACTGCGCATGTGGGTCCTCTCTCTCCTCTCCTATACTCTCCCCTCTCGTGGTGCCCCCCCCCCCCCCAGCGCATGCACACCCCTCCGCCTCTCTCTCCTCTAGGAATCCTCTACTCAATGGAGTGGCGCGCATGACATCATGTGGTGCGACTGCTGCATACTCTGCTGGTGGCGCCACAGTAGTTCTGTCTTATGAAATGACAGAGAGCGTCTGCCTCGTTCTTTTCTACACAATGCCGTGATGAGTGCCATTGTCAACATCGCCGCCAACGTCAGAGTTAGCGCCAGCACAAGCTCTCAATAAAGTTACACCATCTACCGCTCAATCAAACCACCTCCCTGCTTCTTCGCATCCTCACATAGTTCCCTTTAGTCGGAAACGGTGTTTTTTTGTTTTGTTTTTTTGAAACTTGGGAAGGGAGTTTCTTTGTTCTTCCCATAAAAAGTATTTTTTTTTTTTTTGTAGCTGACTACCAGTTTTTGTGAAAGCAATGAGTGGGTGAACATGCGCCCTAGACCAAGCCTCTCGTATGCACTTCGTGCTTATGGTAATTTTTTTTTTCAAAAAAAAAAAAAAAGGTCCATGCACAAAAGCCAAAATGCTTGTCTACTGTCAACTGTATATAGCAAATTGTTAGGTATCTTATAAGGTAGTCTAATGATGCTGTGCACTTTTACACTCTCAAGTCCTCAGAGTGTATCGGTTCAAACACGTTTAGCTCCTAGCTTCATAACACGTATTTGTCGTGCTTGTCGATAAGTTGAAATGCTGAGGGTAATGAAGGTCTTCAGCAAGTGTGAGTGTCGGGGCAACCACTAGAGTTCTCTTGTAAATTTGAATAAATTCTGGTGACGTACTGAGGTGCTGAATGCTGAACCTGTCAACTTCTTCAGCATCCTTCGAAGTGGATTGCGTGCAGGGTAATAACGGGTCTGCTCCAACAGAGACAAATATTATATGCGATGCGGTTAGACCGAATAGCATGAGCAAGCTGGCGGGTACAAGTGTTGAGCTAATGGGAATCGTGTCGCAGGGTTTTTGTTCACCTTTGTTTAGGTTCAGAGCCTTAATGTCTGCGACAATAGATGTTCTTTCATTTCATGATGGCAGTATTATATGAGCCGAAATTGTGAATTAGTATTGAAGCCTGGCCAAACTACAGTCAATATTTGCTGAAAAACGTCAACCACAATCGACTTTACATTGCATGACGGCTCACAAAAGAAGCAAGGCAAGCAATAGAAGAGGAAAAATTGACCTTGGCAATGCTTACCAAGCTTGCAGCTGCTAAATATAAGATTGAATGGTGTTTGTGACCTAGTACGTTTGCTTTTCAAAGGGTTTCCGGTTTTAAACTATTATTCAAAGATAATTCATATATTTTCTTGTAATCTGCATAAATGCATACAACTGCTGAAGTAGAATTGAAATTATTCACTTTAAAATTTTTGTGTTACAAATATTCATAGATGTCAATTAGCCAAAATTGAAATCTTTGTGGTTAATATTTAACCAGAGTTTTGATATTGGTCAGGTTAATAAACCTGCCTTATTTAAAATAGAAGAAAATTCAGAAGAAAATAATTTAGTCACTGAGAAAAGGGTACCTCAAAATGACCGAAAATGCATGGGACGTGTAGGCCTTACCCGGTGCTCCTGAGAATTTTGAGGGTACACTGTAACAGCAGTATGCACAGGACCTTGGTTTTTTTGGCGGAATGTAAGAGACACCTTTGCCCTGCAGTGGGTGTAGTAATCAATTTTGCATACCGAGCCTTTGTTTTAGAGGGACAACCGCATGTTAGAGCCAGATATATTCAGCCAAGCTATAATAGCAGTTGGAGATGGTATATCGGCTTTTCATTTACAGGAAAGTAAAAGCACAGCATTGCCAAGACCAGTCAAGAAAGTGGCCTCCCGGTCTACACCGGCAAGTCCGAGAAGATCCGAGAAGGCCGAAGAAGCAGCCAAGTCCCGGCTGGAAGCACGCAAGCGGCTTATGGAGGCCAAGCGGCAAGCTCGACAGCAACAGCAATCACAACCGGCCGCAGCCCCCAACGAGGACATTGCCATTTTCGTGCCACAGGAAAAGACCAACTGACCACACGGAGGCTGCATTATTGGGCGAAGATGGCAGTCAGGATAGTGCTCGGCTCTGCTGTCGTGCACATTGCTGGCACATGAATGCCTTACCCCACAGAGTGTGCATTTTTTTCTTTTTGCATGCAATAATGGTGCCGCCCACATTGTGGACTCTGGTTGCCGCCATTGCCCGAGAGAGTTGCGTGCAGCAAACAGTGGCAAAGCACAGTCTGACAGCTAATGTGCGAGGTGCGTTGCTCATTGCACAAATAATACACACAAAAACAGACTGTTATATTAGCGACAAACACAGTTACTTCTTATTACGGAGATCACAGGAATAGTTGCGAATGACAAGACGTAGTCATCAGTTAATGCCTCAGTATTAGGCCTAAAAATTATGACAGCAGAGCCTCAGGAAGGAGCGCATCAAATTAGTGGATTCAAATAACCCAAATGTGGCAGAAGCAGGTGGCGAGTCTCAATCAGCACGTTGTTTCAAGGCGTGACTGGATGCCATAGCCAGTACGTAAATGCATAGTCCAACATCAAAACCTACGTTTCGTGGTCAGATGGAGCGCATAATTTCCATGCAATACACACCACTTCCATGACTTAAGAACAGAAGAGGTTTGAGGCACACTGCGAAATGTCAGACTTCCTACTCTCCCAAGTGACATCAGTTTGCTTGTTCCTTCTTCATTCTTTCTCACCTTTTGTAGGAAGCTCTACACGGTCTTTAAATGTCATCACATGTATAGTACTTTATGCCTCGTTCTCCTGTGTTTTTCATGACGACGACTGCGCACAAGTTTACTTAGAAGCATCGCTTTACACTGCGAACATTTAGTTACAGAGGGAAAGCTATCATGCTCACCTACAGAGTTATGGGAGGTGAAACTGAATCTCTTAGTTGGCAAAAGCTGTGCAAACCGACCTGCAAAGTGTGAGAACTTGTTGAGGCAGACCATAAATGTTTGTGCTGTTCCTCTTACATGTGAAAGACATTTGTTCTATCGAAGTGCAGTCTTTGTTGCAATTCTTTTTTGGCAAGTTTTGATAGCTGTTATAGGTTATCAGGTGGTGTTTAGCACAATGGCTTCAGGAAAAATCTGGCAGCTACATGTTCCAGCAGTTTTGATTTTTATATTCCCAATTTACAGCAGCTATTCTACTAGAGAAATTGCTTCACTGTTCATATCAATCTAATCTTAGATGAGACGCAATATTTGCTGCCCAAGGGAAAGGCAGTGTTGCTGCAAACATGTCATCGTTATTGTCAAGGTTGTCGTGAGAAATGCTCGTGTTGAAATGCTGGGCTCATGCATTCCACTTTATCGTGTATCGTTATCAGAAGTTTTCCCAACAATTTAGGAGCTGTTCTCAAATGTGGACCAATCAGCAGAATAAAAGAGACAGTTTGGCTACCATAAATTATTGAATAACTTCTTTTTTTATTACTTACTGTTGTGGCTTACATGCCATCAGGAGATGCAGCATACTAGAAAATCTATAAATTATTGCAGTCATGCTTATTAATTTGCTTGTTTGCAAAAAGGTATCTGCACTAGCACATGCACACAGGTGATCCTACTGTTCTGTAATGACATTGTCGTGGTCAAGTGTCAGTACCATTGTTTATGATAAGTATTCATGTGGTCATTCAAAAATCTGTTAGAGTAGTTTGATGGTTACGTAAGCACTATAAACCGACAATGCAGCACTGTTACTGAAGAAAATAAGTGCAGGTAGCTCTAAAAAGAGGTGTGCAAACATAAATCAAATGTTTGGTATTATCTTATTCATGTTCAGTTCATTAGACTAGTTCACTATCCATGTCTGGCAATGACTCCCTAACATTGACTCGGCCGCAGGTACGATTTCTAAGCTCAGGCACCAGTTTCCCTGAGTGGACTTGAAATAAACTTCGGTCTTTCATTATGAAAGCCTTAAATTTTGGCAGTCCGTATGTAAATTTGTAGACCAAATGTGGGTGCAGAAATTATTTGTTATCTGGCTAATACCACCACATTTTCATTCTTTTAAAACGAGGGCAGTTGGATTAAATGGAATCACTGCATGCTATCTGCATCTTGTGACATGTTCTTTATTTTTCAATGTTGTTTTTGTGCTCTATACTCATCATTTCAAGACTAAGACTTAGTACACACATTTGTAAAGCACATTACATACAATTTAATATGTTTGTGAGTATGCCATACAAATAACTTTTATGAAAACTCTTTTACCAAGAGGATCCCATGCAAGATCTGTATTTGCTTGTTTTCATGGTGGCAAGGCGGCAGACAAACACGCCGAGCTGATGAATGCCTCAGTGAGTGAGGTTCTCCAAAGCCTCTCCCGCACGCAACCAAAGCTGTAACACACCGACACCACACAACAAACATAAATACATCGATCGTGCGCTTCATCATACTTAATATTCAATTAAATGTGAGGCAGTTCTTTTTCTTAGGCGTACGTGGTCAGTTTAAAAGATTCACTGTCCTAGCACCCTTGAGAAAATGCCAGTGTTAACGTCTGTTAAGTTAATTACAGTTGACGTGTGTCAGTGTGCATAAGCCTATAAAGGTCTAAAATTTAAACATTTGAATTTGCAAGCAAAATTGAATTTGCAGCAACAAACGCACAATAAACAAGTCATTTTTGTTGCACTGTCTGCACAATTGCACCTGAACCTCCGACTGAGGCAAAATGCACTATTCATTGATGAGCAAGCTAGCTTTACCAAATACGCTAGACTTGGCAAGGTGCCTTTGTTGGAGAAACATCTTGTTCAAGCATGGCACATCATATTCGCACAGAACACCTGACATATCTTCAATGCAAAGTCTGTCAGAATCTATAGGGCTACAGACATTGCTAGTGGCAATATGAAAGCACGGCTGTCATGCAATATTTAGGCAATTTGCCTGGACAGACCGTCTCTTTAAGACAAACTGTGTATTGAAAGCTTCAGGCTATTTCATTTCTCTTTTTTTAGGATTTTTACTCAAATTAGTGATTTTCGACAAGTTTGTACATTTTCTCCAATAAGCTGTGCGGATTGTACATTGCACGGGGAATATGCATGTTGAGTATTTCAATGACAGTACCTTTATTCGTTCACGAACTCATAAAAAGATACATAAACAGGCATAGTCGAGCTGTTCTGGGTGTACACTTTAAAGCATTGTGTAGTGTTGTAATAAAGCAGACATTCACCATGAACATCAACATGCTCCAGGTTTAGGTACAATGCACTACTTTTTTATAAAGAACATAGCTGTAAGTGCATATGGTTGCCTTGCTGGTGAAACAAAAAATGAACTCCAGCATTCGGTACTTATTTTCCTGGCTTGATTGCCTCTGTACAGCAAGTCTGATGAAACTGCAATATTTCGGTCATTCTTTTCGTAGACACACAAAAATTCTTTTTGTCTTGCATCCCCCCCCAGCCCAAGTGAAAACAATCATCTGCCTTCCTCAAGCCATACTTAGCTGTGGAGAAAAGGTCAATTTCCGCATTGAAAGTGCAAAAAAAAAAAGGAAAGGTGCTCAAGGACCACTAAACGCTATCCTTCACGAATTGTTCCAAGCGTGTTGCGTATTTTTCGTAAGACCGCATAACCAGCGCACCTTTTACATTCCGCAGGGTCAATGTTGCTATTTCGTACTTTAGTCGCCTGTGCACGCTACTTGCCCAAGACATTTTGTATGTGCGACTTCTCTTTATTACATGTTGCGCGAGTATTTATTTGGATGCTGTTGGCACTCTTTCAGAGTCTTTTTTTTTCACAAGGGGGCGCCACTACAGCTTATAAACTATTTATCTTTTCAGCATTGTGTGTGAAATGATCACTGAAGGGACCTCATAGTAGTGATGCGATGAAAAAAAAAAAAACGGTGATGTTCTTAGCTTCTGCCTTCTTTATAATGTGTTTGTCAAGCTGTCATAGAAATGAAGTGTACTTCAGTGGGGTGTCAATGTATAAAATAGTTCTTATTTATTTCACTTAGCAGTGCTACCCAATTTTGTTTCACTCGTTTGTGTTTAATGGTTTGCATTGCGTGTGCATGACTATCGCGGTGTGGTAGTCATTCTTGGTTGCACTGTTTTCGTTCTCGTATGTGATGTAGCTTTCACTAGCTCAGACTTCATAATATAGAAAGGCACCTACTGACGTGTATGGCAAAATTGCAGGTGCCAGCTAGACGGAGTGTTGTTTTACACCTTTTTTGCTTTTGTCCTATTTAGATGGATTCCGTGCTTTCACATTTGTTTTCTACTACCGCGATTAATTTTTCCATTGAGTGTACCAATGTAGATAACTCGTCGTTCAACAAAAAATTCCCTGAAGTGTTGTTCTTCCACTCGCCATTTTCGAGGTTGAATAAACGGCAGCGTGGCGTGAGTGAATGTTTTTTCACGCCATCGCAGAAAGTGTTTCTCATACATGGGTATGTTGACTATTTGCTTTGCAAGGAATAAAGTATGTAAGAAGTGATACTGTCGGTCTCTCTGAAAGCTTACTGTTAAACAGTTGAAACTTATACATTTCCACACATTTCTCTGCATTATTGCTAGGAGGTGGGAACTGGTGGAGAAATGGGGGTGGCATACTTGTAAGATGATGAACTCGTAATTTCATGAACTGATGCACAGACTACTGGGAAACAGCCTCGGATCAGAATGATATACAGTGGTGATAATTGCAGTGATTCCACTCCTGCGCCAGAGTGCGCCAAATCAAATTTACTGTGCCATCCTGATAATATCAACAGAAATAGAGCCAAACTGCGCTTGAGTGGTGGGTTTGGGGGCGTTTATCACCTGTAGTAGCCACACTGGCGCATCAAAACATGTGCAGTTCAAGGGGCCGCCGAAGTCGCAACCACGTACCTAGAATTATTGTGCTGAATAATCGGCGGTCGTGCATGCGTCCCAGATAATTCCTTGTGCCATGCAGCTTTTAGTGTGTTATAGTCGGTTCAATGGCAAAACGCACTCTCCGCAGGTTTTGCACGGGTTCTCTCTGCAGCTTTTGGAAGCATGTGTACTCATCTGCAGCAAAGCTAAATGATGTGCGATTGTAATTGCCTTTAACTACAGGAAGAGCTATGTGTCTTCATCTCTCCCCAACCCCCCACCCTTGAGTCTTCGCTGCATGAGAGTGCAGCAAAGTTATCCCAACTACACTGACGGGGTCGCTGACCTGTTTGAACACACAATATATTTCTGTGTAGTGATTAAAGAGATTCTGGAAATACTGTCAGTAAACATACACCGAAACAATGAACATGATACGGCGCCTCTTTGCATAGCTCACCCGAGGCACGCTCTCCTGAGCACATCATCCTCCTAACCAGCTAAAAATAAAAAAGAACTTGGTAGACCCATGATGAACCACCTTTGAACACAGTATCAGCTAAATAATGGCATTGTTTGGCATTTTGTAGTTTTTTAAAGTTACAGGTGTACGTAAAGCAAGACTGTGAAACATCAAATTATCAACTTATTGTGCAAATGCTTTTTTTTATCATTATCAAAGCGCCACTGGCAGAATGTCGCAGCTGGTAATTGAAGAACCCATACGTCGTGCCTCGTGCGCCGAAAGCGTCCAGCAGTAGCATTACCTATACGGAGTGTGAGCCGTCGTTCTGACTCCAAGAAGAAGAAGGAATTAAGATAACCATTCTTCAAATCACCATATTAATCTTAAGATACGAAATATTGGCCGATAACCCAAAATGGGTATGCATGTGCCATAGTGTTGAGGACACAAGTAATTGGTCCACAGAGTGGGAATGCGCCATAGTGATGGAGATGAAGAACGACATAAACCTCTCTGTCAAATAAGCAAGATTCAAGCCTGGTGTTCTTTTTCTGGGCCTGGGCACCCGCCGCAGCCGCAGTTCCGAGACCCTCGGTTTCGAGATAGCTTCCTCGACTCGCTGGACAGCCCAGTTTTGCAGCCAGGTTCGAGCTAAGAGGTGCGGCCTTCCAGCACGAGCGAACGCTCATGGATGCTGGCAGCGGAATACACAAACGGATCGGCTCTGTTCTTATTGTCTGGTATGCCCTGGCACTCTCAGAGCATGTGACCAAGCGTGACAACCTTGCCACACTAGCTGCATCTATTTGTAGAGTACATGTCTTATGAGGAAACAGCTTTTTGGTCAATCCCCCAGTGTGGGTATGTGCCATCTGGATGGCAGAACAAACATGCAAACAGCGACGGAAAATTATGCGAGGCCGTTAACGATTTCATAGCACAGTCGATGAGATTTACACAGTAAGCATGAATCCAAAGCTTCATATTCAACCAAAGTAGGCTTCATTATATTTTCTCTCGTATTATTATATTAATTCTCATTGACTCGGAATCGATTCGCCCCCTCCCCCTTTTTATTCTCCTAAAAATAATTCTGATCAAAAATTATAATATTAAACAAAAGGCAAGCAATTCCCTTTTCTATATTTTGAGTGGGTGTGTTATCTCAGTTACCCAATGCATGGCTAATCCCCGAGAGTGGGTGCGAGCCAAACCTTTAGGATCTACATCTTCTTATACTTTTACCTACATGGAGCAACTCAAGCGCTGTCTCTTCTGAGTCTTTCTGTAATTAGGAGGAAATTAGTCATCACTTTTTATGCGGTCGCCGGCATACGTCGTTGAGGACAAGATTCATAGCACCACGTCTTCGAAATCTGGGTCTGGAAATATCCGAATCAATTGTTGTTGTTGTTTTTTTTTTTTGCGCCTATACTTTGGCTACAGAGAAAGAAACCAAGTCTGTTCCGAAACATCGGGTTTACGCGTTTTTTTTTTATATTTTGGTTGGTGTTAAAATCGTTTCCCAGTCACAAGGATGTTTTCTACGCCATAGATGAATAGAGGAATCATTCAGCATAAAAGAATATTGAGCTAAATGATTGACTCTTTAATATTTCAATACTAATATTCCGTACTTATGTTTGTTATATTAGCTATTCCTAATTTATTGATATGTGGAGTTTAGCGTCCCAAAACCACCATATATGGTTATGAGAGACGCCGTAGGGGAGGGCTCCGGAAATTTCGATTTCCTGGTGTTTTAACATGCACCGAATCTGAGCACACGGGCCTACAGCATTTTCACCTCCGTCGAAAATGCAGCCGCCGCAGCCGGGATTCTATCCCGTGACTTGTGGGTCAGCAGCCTGGTATCTTAGCCACTAGACCACCGCGGCAGGGCTTAGCTATTCCTAGCTTACACGAGGAGAAATACTGAAAAAAATTCACCTAATACTCGGCCTATCCCCTGCATTGGGTATGAGCCATGAGAGGAGGATAAGAAGAAGTGCACGCGCCCGTTTGGAGCGTAGCAAGTTTCGGACGTGTCGCCGATACGTCTCAGCAGGGACCTTTGAGCGACGTCCTCCCTTTGGGTCACAGTCATCATCTCGGACCAAGGGACCGGTACATTGCTACTCGAGGTGAGTGGCGTTGGCGCACTTCGCTGGCTTTCGTGAAGGTAACACGGGCGTAGCCAAGAGGATTGGGGGGGGGGGGGGGGGGGTGTCAGCTTTTCTCCAATTTTTTTTCGGTTTTTGCTTGCGTATTTACTATATACTATATACGCACACACAGAACCGCACGCACGAACATACAAAAAGTATGCTATAATCCCCTCTTTCGCAAAAAAATTCCTGGCTACGCCCTTAGATTGCACGACCGCGCGAGGAGCAGGTTGTGCCCCACTCACATAGTCACTGCGTACAACTAATTCCGATCGAGTTCGAATCAATTCAGCGAGTACCAACCATGCTGAATCGTCATCGAATGCGTCATGACTGTACGGTGCATCGAGTGATGGAACGCTCGTGAATCACCGTCTCACATGACGAGCTTGTTCATTCAAACAATTGTTAATGCTTTTTCGTTCAAAATTCTCCATCATTTGGACGAGAAGCACCGGTGGGGGATAGGGGGAGCACTGCCCCCCCCCCCCCCCTCTTGTATTCGAACAGCATTGACGGCACTCATCATCGTTCTCAGCCTGTTTTACTTCCGCTGCAGGATGTGGCCTCTCGCAATGATCTCCTTTTACCACATCCTGTGTCATTTTATCACTGCGAACTTCTCAATTTCGTCACTGCATCTAACTTTTTGCCCTCCCCGAATGATGAAAAGATGCGAGATGGTGGTACTTGGAGTGTTGAATGGATGGACGAACGGACACATAGATGCCATGGATGGACGCATGGACCGGAAGCCCCAGGGGCGGATGCATGGACGACACCAGGGACGGACGCACGAACAGACGCATGCACGGACGGGGCGGATGGACGCATGGACGGCTAACACCGACGGACGCATGGACGGACGAATGCTTCGCCCCACTCTCCATCATTCACTCCTTGGATATGCTGCCATTTTTTTTTTGTTTCAGAGTGGGGGAGGGGCTCAATTACACATAATGTGCATTCGTGCGAGCGTTTGTGTGCATAATTGAAATTCTCCGAGGAAAAGGGGGGCGATTACCCCCCTCCCCCCGCTTCGGTTACGCCAGTCATGAATGACGCCGACCTTTGTACGTCGCCAACGATGACACTGTTGTCTCAATCGCAGGAACAGCAAGCTGGCACCTGGATTCAGCCTTCGACGCGCCCACTAGCAGCATGTCCCTCCTGTTTGTGGCCGGCGTGTTTATAACCTTCATCACCTTCATACTGTACATGCTCGGGCACAACCGCCTGCATCGCTCTCAGGCAAGGATGCGCCTGTAGCAGCGTAATTAATTACTTCGAACAATTACTTCGAGATAATTATTAATTACTTTGCCGGTCACCCTTGACTGGAAGTATAGTACTGATATCCGCCACTCTTATGACATAATAATTTGACCAAAAAGAAAACAAAAGTAAAGAAAGGTCATCTTAGCTCGGAAACTCAAGTCTTGAAAGTGGAACAAAATAACTGGAATTTTGATACGTATGCGATGTAACTATCTTGTCCGTGACTTGTTTGTAAATTTCGAGTATCTGCTAGAATAATTTCAGAGTGATCACACCTCAGAAGCAATAGCAATAGGACGTTATTACATAAGGCCACTCATATAGTTTGTAACATATTTTAATTACACTTTAAAATTGAGAAACGCAATTAGTAATGTAACTTAATTACACGTATGAGTAATTTATCTAAATCTGTCGCATAGTGATACTGTACGAAGGCCACAGCGCAGCTTTGTGTAAATACTAGCAGTGTAGTCATAAGAGGCTTTAGCCGGATTCTCCTCCTTTTTAAACAATTCTATAGGCGCCAAATAGCGTAATCTCGTATGCAGTTACATTTGCATTACCCCGACAGCTGCTTTGCGATACCACTGATTTCTTCTGACCAAATTCGACGTGATCTAAAAACTTCGGCGTCTGAAAGGGTCGTGTCAGTGCCTTCTGGGTTGCCATCTGTGCGCACACAGTCCGGCACTTATTACTATAATGCAATATATTACTTTTTTGCTAAACTGCCAAATGAATTGAAAATTATCAATATTGACCGCGATTTTCTCTTTAATACTATTGCGTCAAAGTAAAGAGTACATAAAGAGTTCCTGCGTTGTTCATAAAAGTATTCACGTTCAAAACAATACTATTACTTCAAGAACGTTTTATATTTCTCTGCAAGTGGGAAATTGTAGATATGTTTGATTTATGCGAGTTTTTCTTAGTTTTCCTCTCTCTCTTTCTCTTGCAGATTCAAGCGTCAAAGGTTATAGGTTCAATTCAACTAGGAATATATTACGCCGTTACCAGTTTGGTGTCGAAACCCGAGCGAAATTTATTGATCAGGGATTTTGCCGTGATAGAGTCGATCTTTCTACCAGGGTAAGCTTGCACAGACCCCCTTTCAGCGTCCGTTCTTCGCGACGTCCGATAAGGTCACCCCACTACTCTGAATTACATTGGTTTAATTCACTGGTTACACTTACAATAAATAAACCTGTTATAGTTAGGTTAAATTTGGTTGTATGAATATATATCTACAACATATATATACCCACAATGTATATAAATGTTGTGGGGAACAGGACGAGCTGCCATCCCCATGGCGAAGCACCTCGCTGGCCTCTTCTTTATTCCAACCCACTCTCCTTGTGACGATGATACTACCACATCTCTCCATCTACATAATTTTCTACAGATGTTTCATAGTGCACTAGATGTTATAGATGGCTGGAGCACAATTTCTGTGCACAAATTTCTCTTGTACTCCACAATATCGGGTGGCCCATTGCGAAAGAGGAGGAGGGGGGGGGGTGATTCCTAAATGAAAAGAAGAGAAAAGTGAGCCCCGTAACTGTCTCTCAGGGGAAGGACACCTCAACAGTAGTCACAAGGGATGGGGGTAGAGAAGGGAATAAAAGGCTAGGATTAAAAGGTATAGAGATAGAGAGAGGAGCAGGAATAGAGAGAGGCGCAGGGACAGCCACATACAGAAGCAAGGAGAAGAAGGATGGACATGGTCGGAGATCGCGTGGGCACAACGGGCCGGCACGAAATCCAGCGAGCGAGTCAAAAAAAGTAAACAGCTGTGTCTATTAGAGCTCCTTTGCTGTTTCGATTGCCTTTAGAGTGTCACATATCTAGGAGAACAGTAAAGAGGCAACTAGGTTGAGTTACCGTATTTACTCATGCAGGGCTAGCTCTTCGTCAAACAATGACGAACCGCGCAGCCCTCGATGGTCCTTTACACAGCATTAAGTATTTTACGACAGTAATGAACAATTACACCGCATATTTACTCATTGGCCCGAGGCCAGTTCAAATATTCTAATAATATATGTGGTCTTACATCCGAAAACCACGCCTTTGTTAAAATGCATCCACGGCATCCGAAATCAAACCGACGACCTTCGGTCCAGCATCCGAGCACCATAACTCTACTGCTTCGCCGAGGCGGACCATTTCAAATATTTTATTGCTGTATTGGGAGAAGAGAAATGATTGAAATGTCTAAATTAACCACCGAGTACTGCACGTATCAAATCACATCAGGACGCCTAAGTAGGAGCACAGGTTATAAACTGCTGGAAGCCAACAGGAGTAATTCATCATACGGTGGGAAACACTTGCATGGATTGGACATAATATCGAGTGGCATGACTGAACGGTTTCGCGATTTTTGTAGAACGTTCCGCTCAGATATCACATTTACAGATTCGGTAAACAGAGCTGCGCAAAAATATTTTTGCGACGTGTAACGACGTAAATTCTAAAATATTTCGTATTATTCATAACAAGATGTTGTTAAAGAGGTGACATGAATAAACATAACGAGCCACTGAAATTTCGCATTATCATCGTGTGTAGGGGCTTACGATGGGATATTTTTCGGAGAAGTACCCAATTACCGAAAAATAGCTGTGATCGCCAGTCTTCCAAGCGTTTCAAGTCACTGCCGTCTGTGAAAGAACGTCGGTTTCTTCTTTTCATTTATGTGCAGATACATCATAGGAAAGAAGTTTAGCCTAAACGCATTATTTTGCGTAACTCACATTTATCTCTCAAGCGTTGTTGTAGATGATTTCATAGATTGTTTCACTCCTTGGTTCCACCCCCCCCCCCACGTTTTTTAGGGAAGGGAGCACTGTGACTCCCGCTCACCACTACAGCGACTTCAAGTTTAAGGCGTACGCCCCGGTCGCTTTCCGATACTTCAGGGACCTGTTTAGCATAAACACCGACGGCTTTCTGGTAAGCTGCCTCTCCTCCTTCGTCTCTTAACTCATGGAGCAAAGGAAAAAAATTACAGCATTCAATAAGTAATAATAATAAAGCCAAAATAGAAATTAAGCATTCCCAAACCATGCCCAATTACACAACATTCACGCGATAACCCCACCACTCTGCGACGCATTTACTCGAGTTGCTCCCATGGGAAGATGCGGGCGGCATTTTTTCGCTGCAGTTGGTGTCACGAACGAGCGCTCAGAAAAGGACGATACCAAGCGCCAGAAAGACGCCTCAAGGTCAACGCTAAAGAAGAAAACAAGCATCCAAAGACTCCCCGGGCGCGTCGTCTCTCTCCCTCGGAAGCGTAGTTTCGCCGACCAACCTCCTCGCATCGGCCGCCGAGCAAGCCCTGGAAAGAGCTGGAAGGAAAGGGGCGTGGTGATCTAGAGTTGCCTCACGAGTTCCGGACGGTCCTCGAAACGTCTTACTCTTTCCCCAGCCTTGGCTGTGCATCACGCAGACGAAACGATTAGAATTTTCGGGAATCTAGCGTGAAAGTTATTTAAGCGAGCAGTGGAGAAGGGAGATCAGGAGAAGGAAGCTTGCGCCAGTGTGCGTAGGGTCTTTCCGCTTTGTTGGCGAAGGCTTTGGTCCTCAGTGACAAAGCAGGAGAAGATGACAGTTTACGCCAGTGTGCGTACGGTCATTCCGCGTGTCGGCGAAGGCTTTTGTCGTCAGTGGCAAAGCAGGTGATGAAGAGGGTTTCCGCCTGAAGGGTGAAGGCTGGTGCTACCAGCAGAAGAAGTGTGTGAGACTACTGCCAGAGAGCGAAGACTGCGTCCTGCAATCGCAACGCGTGGGAAGCCGACGTGTTACCGGCGAATAAGTTTAGCGCTTGGAGAGCCGCCAATTAAAGACGCGAGGTTTCCTGGAAGAGAAACTTCGGGGGCAGTGGATCGACAACAGCGCTGGACTTTGAGTGAGTGGTTCTCGGAAGAGTATCATTCAGACTTTGTTCCAAGGACTTTGTACTGAATAAGTTTTCGAACTCTTTCGTCTTAAGTGTCTTGGTAGTTTGATGCCCGTGTTTGCATTGTAGCGCGTATTGTTGTTTGTGTCCGTTGTTTCGAGTGTAGCTGATTGTATTGGGTAGTCGAATGTTTTATCGGTGAAATATTGTACTGAACTCTTGCCGAGTGTGCATGTTTGTGTATCATTTGATCTGCCATACTTGAGAATATAATTTTGTTCTGTTTATGAACTCTCGGCTCTGACTCGTTCTTTGGACCACGGCCGGCGTCCGCTGGCGTGCCAAATAGGACCACTTTAAATTGTCCACGCTTTCGTGGTGCAGTTCGGGGGGCCGATACTTCGGCCCTTGTAATTAGCCCGGCGATCGCCTTCCTAATTAAAGAGACCTGTGACAGTTGGTCAGTCGACACTAAGAAAAGAGTCCTTTGACTTCTTTCGGGTAGTCCTGCCGTGCCACGTGTACGACTCTCTGTGGGAAATCATTGTACTCTTTTCGGGGAATCGTGTGACCCAGAAGGGAGTCAGCCCGACTCCCTTAAGTGAGTCTTATACGTGGTACGTTAGGACTACCCCGCAATGAGTCACACATACCCCTCCTTCAGTGTAGGGAGCCTCGGTGTGCTCCTCCGGTACGGATGCGCGAGCATCGTGGCACCCAAGGTCGGTCCAAAAGGGACTCAATGCGTGCGCGCACGTAGGTGGCTTAAAGAACACACGAGTGTATAGATCTGCAGTGCGTTCTGTCGAGGAGCCTCGAGTTCTATAGCAAATAATATTCCGAGTGATCATGCCATAAACACTCCTCGTGATGCACTACTTTGTTCGGAATTATGCATTATACTGTGGCTTAGTATAGCGACTACTGCACCAGAAACAAGAAGACGTTCTGGAAGGCAACCAGCATTTTTTTTTTTTTGTCTAAAGGCGCGTGGCTGTACGTCTACTGTAGTGCCAACGCGGACGAAACTGTCAACCAAACGTTCCACCTGTACCTATGTGTTTTGGTGAAACGCAAAGATCATCCCTTTCTTCTTATCGGGTGTCCATGGTACAGAACTCTACATAAATAGTTCACCTTCTTTTTATATTACTGTAGAGTACATTATCTCATAGTAAAGAATTTGCAGCTATGAATCGTTTCAATTTTGTCTAAACACAATACCAGACTGCAATAATAATAATAATAATAATAATAATAATAATAATAATAATAATAATAATAATATAACGTTTATTTGTCATCAGTACGTTTGATGAAGGACAGCTGCAGGTAAAAGAGGCAGCTTGACAAGGGTCCCACAGCCACCTTTTAACACGACACCAGTGACAGACAGCAGTACAAACTCAAATAACAAGCAACGAAACAAAATAGCCCAAATTCCCAAAAAAAGAAAAGCAGCAACCCTAATAACAATACAGTAACTGCAGAGAAATATTGAACCTGAACATGTGTAATTCGCGCAATTAGGTCTGTGTACAGTGTAAGAAATCTATGCCAGTCTTCACATATTCATTAAATAACGTAGGAACTATATGTAGGATAACTTACCTGTGGAGCAGTTTGCTTTCCAAGTTTTTTATTTTCCATGTTTTTTGTTTCGTGTATCGAACAATGGCCTGTTTCAATTAACAGCGATTTTCTCCGGGCAAGCTACAGGCACGGAAGAGGTCTCAAACGTTTCCGTTTTCATGAGACACGCCACGCAGTCACTATGAATTGAAACATCACTGTGGAATGAAAACTTCTTATTCAAGGATCGGCGTGGAGATTTTAGCCATTGTGGGAGTTAGTATCGATATGACTTTCAAAACCTGACGTAAAGTCTCCCTCAAAAATGACCTACATGTGGGACATGGGTAAAGCGATGTTTAAAATGGCAACCCCTATCTTTGCTTCTACCAGCCTGATTGTCCAAAGACTAAATTTCGGGACAGGGGCTCCCTAGCTGAGGCCACAGGCTGATCAAGCTAATTCGTCGGTCAACATTCCTGTGCGCTTTCGAAATGTGCAGTTTAAGTCGGGCTTGAAAATTATTTGACGTTTTCGCTATCGGAGTGCCTACTTTGGACTGTTAGGCGAACAAATATCCGTTTTAACGTATATACTTGCTATTATCTTAGATGTTGTTTTCGTTTTTTCAGAGCGACCATATATTCGTTGAAATAAAGCATAGCCCCCAAATGTTCAATTTTCTTCGTTATTTTTCGTGAATCGTTATGTTGAAAGTCAACTTTAAAGCTAATTGAATTGCATGGACTGATTTCGGGACTGCTTTCAGATGGCTTTGTGCCACGAACCCTTAAGGGAGCTCTCAAACCCCGGCGCAAGCGGAAGTGCGTTTTACCTCACCAGCAACGACGAGTTCATCATCAAAACTGTCCAGCACAAGGAAGCCGAGTTCCTACAGAATCTGCTGGCAGGCTACTATATGGTGAGTGCGTTTACGCGAAGCCCGAGAACTTCGCACTGTAAAGTCTGGGTCGAAGGAGGAAGTTGCTGATGGCATCCCACCGCTGCCACCAGTTGTTGCGAAAGGGGGTCTATCCGGTCTCTTGTGGTAGCGTGGTGTAACCGGGTGGTGGAAATGAAAGCTCATAAGATGGGGATACGAAAAAACAAACAGGTTTATGGCACTATTTACACATATTTACAGCAAAGAAAGGTTACGAGGTTCACAAACCACGAGCGTGGTGGTTGAACCGTTACATGGTTCAGAGCGACGTCCAACACTCTGCGGCGTCGTTTTAAGCCCTGTCGGGCTCCTCCTCTCCGAGTGGAACACCAATCACACACACAAACAACAGGTGAGGGGAACGAGCATGCACGGTTCACGTGAACGTACAATATTTATTTATTTATTTATGGTACCCTCAGGGCCCGAAGGCATTACAGAGGGGAGTGGCAATACAAAATAATACAGCAAACGGCAAAACGTAAAGGAAAAGAAGGGAAAATACAAAGCGATTGGCAAAAACACACAGTAACAAAGAATTAAATGTAGTAGCGGTAATACATTACAACGATTTTGTTAAAAAAAAAACGGCAAAACGGCAAAACGTAAAGAAAAAGAAGGGAAAATACAAAGCGGTTGGCAAAAACACACAGTAACAAAGAAGTAATGTAGCAGCGGGAATACATGACAACGAAAAAAAAAACACGACATATATAACACGAAGCAAAATCAAACATCGCAAAACATGTTTTGCAAAAAGGCCCTAAAACGTGATGTATCGGTAATAGCCGTAGCTGATTGTGGTAGTAGATTCCATTCGGATGTGGTTCTTGGAATGAAGGCATGCGAATAGGTTACGGTTCTGCAGCGGGGAACATGAACTTTTGCAGATGGTCCCAATCTGGGTGATATGAATGAGGGGGGTTTAATAAACTGTTCACGAAGATTTTTGCTATGATAAAGTTTATGAAGGAGACTGAGTCGGGCTATTTTACGCCGAATGGCGAGTTCAGGAAGGTTGAGCTGGGACTTCATTAAGGTAACACTGGCCGTGCGGTTATAATTGGCTGAAATGAAGCGAACTGAACGATTCTGGACTGCTTCTAATTCATGTGTAAGTGTAGTGCCACCAGGATCCCAGACGGATGATGCGTATTCAAGTGATGGACGAATATAAGTAGTGTAAAGAAGTTTCTTAAGGGATGAGGGCGCCATGTAGAAGTTCCTGCGAAAATACCCGAGAGAACGGTTAGCCTTGGCGATGATGTGCTCCACATGGTGGTTCCATGACAGGTTACTGGAAATATGAACACCTAGGTATTTGTAAAATGAACAGACTCGAGGTGGGTATCATTGAGATGATAATCTGGATACGCAAGTGAGGTGCGGCACACACGCATTGCTTTGCATTTTGAAATGTTTAGTTCCATGTTACATAATTGACACCAGGTAAATATGTTATTTAAATCCGTCTGGAGCGAGGTAACATCATTTTGGTTAGTTATTTTCCGATAAATTACACAGTCATCTGCGAATAGGCATACCTTTGATGAGACATTAGTTGGCAGATCGTTCATGAAAATTAAGAACAGTAAGGGTCCCAACACAGAGCCTTTGGGAACACCCGAGAGCACCGGCTGGACGGGGGAATCAATATTGTTAGCAGAAACAAACTGTGTTCGGTTGGAAAGAAAGGCTCGAATCCAGTTAAACACGTTAGGGTCTAGGTTTAAGTGTTTCATCTTAAGAAGTAGTAACTGATGACTGACCTTATCGAATGCCTTAGAATAATCTAAAAAAATACAGTCAATGGTGAATCCAGAATCGAGTAGGACATGCAGGTCGTTTGTAAAGACTAAGAGCTGCGTTTCGCAAGAAAAATTCTTGCGGAAACCGTGTTGCGAGGGTGTGAAAAACTGGTTAGACTCGAGAAAGTTAACAAGGTGGGTGAAAATGATATGCTCAAGTATTTTGCACGGGACAGATGTCAGTGAAATTGGACGGAAGTTTGATGGATTGTGTGTTAGCCCTGATTTGTGAACTGGCACTATCTTACCGACCAGCCAGTCTTCCGGAAGGCTAGAATGCTGCAGGGACTGTGAAAAAATGCATGACAGGATAATAGAGGAGTATTCAACAGTGTTCTTCAGGAATTTAGCATTGATACCATCAACTCCACATGATGATGAGTTTTTAAGTTTCTTAATGACCGCACGAATACCTTCCGAGGTAACGAAGATAGCGTCCATAGGTAGGTAATGGGGTGACGGCAAGGAGATTTGGTTGTTGATGGTCGCCTGGTGAGAGAAAGCTTTTATGAATGTGTCATTTAGTACAGATGCGCATTCTACGTCGGGCACGGGATGCCCTTCAACTGTCAGCAAGGCTATAGCGCGGCGCTCGCTGCCACGCATGAAATTCCAAAACTGTCTAGGGTTATTTTTCAGCATAACCGGTAGAGTGTGACTAAAAAGGAAGACTTAGCTCGTTTCACTTCAGATAAATAGGTTGTGGCAGCAGATTTGTAAGTAGACCAACGTTTATCAGACGGGGATTTGACAGCAGCACGATAAAACCTTTTCTTACGGTTTGAAAGGCGGTTTATGTATCTGTTGTACCATGGAGCACGTGTATTGGAAAGAACTTGTTTTATAGGGATATGTTTAACGGTTAGCTCTGAAACTTTAGCTTTAAATAAGTCCCAGTTGCTCTGCACCGATCTTTCAGGGTAGTTGGGTAAGAACTCATCTAGGAATGTGCCCAAATCCTTGTTAATTGAGTCAAAGTCAGCCTTTCTGTAATCCCGTATAGTTTTAAGCTGCTTACGCATGCGTGAGAATGGCAGCAATATATTTGCTTGAATAATATCGTGATCACTGATACCAGGTACATTGGACACTGAAGATACAATATCTGGTTCTGATGTCAATATAAGATCAAGAATGGATGACGTAGTATCGGTAACGCGCGTAGGAAAATTAACAAGCTGCGTCAAACCAAAATCTGAACAGATGCGAATAAAATGCTCCGCTTCCGCTGAGTTAGGCAAGGAATATGAATAAGAATTTGACCACACAATGTTAGGGAAATTGAAATCGCCTAGTAGAATCACAGCTGCGCGAGGAAACAAAACCTTCACATGGCTCAGACAATCATGTAGGTCATTGCAAAAGTTTGCACTTCCTGAAGGTGGGCGGTAACATACGCCAATGACAACTTTTCTAAAAGCCACGTTGAGGCAACACCATGTTGCCTCCAAAACCGAGTCTATCGCAACAGCGTAGTTTTCAATGCTCTCATTCACCGCAAGAAGAACACCACCTCCACATCTATTAGGTCTGTCGCAGCGATATATTTTGTATTTTTTATCACAGCACAGCAGCTCTTCGTTTCGTATTTTGTCGCAAAGCCACGTTTCAGTTACCGCAATAATATCGGCGTTTGAATCATTAACTGCTGTACTCATTTCATCTTCTTGGACAGGAGGCTGCGAACATTAGTAGACAGCACGATCAATTTTTCTGTGGTCAACGCGAGTGCCACCACCCCTTGCTTCATCCTAGCTTCCCGAGGAAGCATTAAATTGTCGACCAGAACGAAGTTGCCGAGAAGAGGAGTTGGCGACACTAGCGTTATTAGTTACGCGTCTGGATGGCCCGATTTCATGCACTGTATCAGTAACGTAGTCGTAGCCATAACATTTCTCATTTGCAAAAAGTTTGTTATAGCGCACACTGAAAGGGCAATGAAGCTCTTTGGCGAAGTTGGTCAGCATTGCTCTAGTACGGCGAGTGTTAGCAGAAAAATCCTCCCGCATAACCACTTTGCTTCCTTTGAGCATGTGACGTTTTGAAAGAACCATTTCTTTCGTTTGTAGGTGGAAAATTTTACTATAATCGGACGAACTTTATTAGTGGAAAAGCGGCCGATTCTATGTGCGCGTGCAACGTTATCACCAGATAAAGTTAGATCAAGGGACTGGCGAAATAAGCTCAAGATAGTTTCCTCAGTCTGCTGCGTAGTTTCAGAGGCATTGTCTGCGATACCAAAGAATACTAGATTATCCCTCCGAGAGCGATCCTCAGCCTCATCGAGACGCGCACGTAGACCAAGCATGTCGCCCTGCACTTGCCTTGTAAGTTGACTCGTTGCCGTCAGTTCGCGCTGAATGTTGTCTATAATGGATGTCCGCTTTTCAAACCGTTTCCAGGCGCGTCAATATGTTGGAAATGTCTTTAGTAAGCGAAAGCTGATGTTGCTTAAGCTCCTGGATGTCACCTGACATTACCGCTTGCGTGGTTTCAATGCGAATCGAACGTTCTTGCATATCTTTCACCACTTTATGTATTTCAGTAATTTGATCATCCTTGGGTCCCGGGTTCTGCTCGACATCACCACATATTAACAACAAAAGGTCACAAAAAGGCTGTAACAGGGCTTCTGGGCATGGAAGCACCATAATAAAAGGGTTGTCAGATCGAAAACTCCTACACGGTAGTCTGTTAAAATAACTGACCTGCAAAACGTAGGGAAGCATGAATGAGTACATGCTTCTGCCGATGCTTCCATGCCCACTGCCGGTGGCATGCGTGCAACACGGTTTTAAAGGGGCCAGTGGTGTCGCTGTCGTCGTGGCCGATGACGATTTTGCTGCGGCACGTGCGAGATCCCTCCCCTCGAAGAACCAGCTCTGATGAGATAAAGTGCAGAGCACCGGACCCTGGGTTGTATCCAGGTAGGTGCTGTTAGCAGTCGAAGGGAAAGTCACGCTGGAATGTACGCTGAGCGGTAGCAATGCTCCGGCGTTGGCTGTACTCAGGCACTCGACGAGAAACTGCAAAACGTAGGGAAGCATGAATGAGTACATGCTTCTGCCGATGCTTCCATGCCCACTCGAGTCGTGACCACTGCACTGCAAGGTGGCGCCAGCAGGGCTCTTCCTCATCGTGTGTGTGCCGCTAGTCGAGAGGTCCCAAGCTTCTGACAGCATACATCAAAGGGCCCGCCGATCTGTTCGCTCAATTAGCGGAGCGATTTGCGGCGGCCGCCATGGTCTCTGCCAAGGAAGATGCTGTCTTTGTTATCCTCTCTCGAACGGTTTACGGCGTCGTGGCGACACGACGTCTCATCCTCCGGCTAGCAGGGACAATGCCTGACGGGCATAGGCAGCCGGCCGGTCGGCTACTTGATTGGGGATTTAAAAAGCGCCGCTTCCCCGTCAGCTCTGGCGCCGGTAAAAACAGCTTCCCCATCGCCAGATGAGTCGCCGAGGTCATCAGGCACCACTGCTGCTCGAAGGGACGACGAAAGGGTCCGCATTTGAAAGTCAGGACCTCGCCGTTGCTTGCCGCATGGTCTGGGTAATTGCCGAAATCTTCGACAGCGTCTGGCAGACTGGACGCCGAAGGGGCTGAGAGCCTCCCCAGTAGACCGGCTTATGCACAATGGCATCTGCCCAGACGAATCGCCAGGCCAAACGTAACAGCACAAAATAGTTCATGTATACGGCCTTTCGTGGGCCATCGCAAACACGCGAGCTATGCGTAGAGTGTGTTGACTATTTTGTCTGCACGATAACTCACTAATTGCACATCACAAAAACAAACTATCCGCGCCTTTTCACTCGGAAAAACCCACTCTATATACAAACCGGCAGAGGCTCTGTAATAAACGCGACGCCGTGAACTGAATTAAAGTGGCTTGCGAGGCGAGCTGGTCTATTCATGGCGAGGCTTAGCGGGTGAAAACAGGTCAATCTTCTCTGTATTTTGTTTTCCACGCGCTAAGTCTCGCCATGAAGCGTAATCTATAGTGCGCACGGGTGGCGGCAAGGGGAGGGGTATGGGGAGGGGCTCCTTTCTTTAAAATCTGAGGGATGCGTCGATTCGGGCCCATACCTTTGTGAAAAGCATGCCATCGCTTTGTGTACATTTCTTTTTTTTATACACTGCAGAACACGTCTCCTTTCGGACTCGACCAAAAGGACGGGGGCAAAGGGAATGCAGTGAGTTTTTGCACCCCCCCCCCCCCCCCCGAATGTTGAGCCCTCCACACGCTTTAGGTTATAAGTGCAGCACGACTTCGGGGCGTTAAAGGGACTGACAACTGCCCAAGACGTGTCGCAAGACACTGGTGGAAGTGAAAGGACTGAACTACAGTGACTGGATTGATCATTCCTATCGCGATTTAAATATGACTCGCATTATTTAAATTGCTATTGAAAGTCACAAAGACTGGCGCGTCACATCGCCGGGTGACAAGCGTTGGTACTGTTCAAACAAGTCGTTTAGATCGCTGTGCACGGCGTGCTGTTGTTCACGTAGTACATCACAATCGGTGCTTAAAATAGGTCTGTGTATTACTAGCTATCCTTGGTTCATTGTACCGCAATTAAGAAGCAAGAAAAGTTGACGTAGAGAAGCAGCGCTGCTTTCGCGCCGCACTTGTGATAGCATTCATAAACATGCAGAATCGTGGCGCATGCGCTCGGCGTGCAGGAATGACCTAAACATACACGCACACACACAATATATATATATATATATATATATATATATATATATATATATATATATATATATATATATAATGTAAGTAAGAAGAAAGAAAAGTGGGTGAAAAATAACTTGCCGTGAGCAGGAATCGAGCCTACGACCTTAGAATAACGCGTTCTATGCTCTATCCACTGAGCTATCACGGCGGCTATCCAACCAGCCACTTTATTGGGTTTATAGACTTGGTGCCGTTAGGTTATATGCGAGGGACTATCGGTCAGCTGCACGCTCGTAGTAAGTTCACGTGCTACGTGACGCCACACAGGCTCATAAAAGGGTGTTCCACACTAGCCGCTATGGCTACAGATGGCGCTGACTGACACCCACGTTTAAATTCACATATAAATCCAATAATGTGGCTGGGGGGATAGCCGCCCTGATAGCTCAGTGGTTAGAGCATCGAACGCGTTACTAGAAGATCGTAGGCTCGATTCCTGCTCACGGCTAGTCATTACTTACCTACTTTTTTCTTCTTATTTACATTACATTGGTTCTAATAGCAACTCGTTTGAACACACACGCGCACACACACACACACACACACACACACACACACACACACACACACACACACACACACACACACACACACACACACACACACACACACACACATACATATACGTCTCCACAATGACATACTTTGAGGGTAATTTTTCTGTTCCACTAAAGTAGGTGCCATAAAAATTCGGGGTATACTTAACACTTACTAAAAATGGCAAGGCGATGCCTGCTCGGACGTTCTGTCGATCTGCTTTTTGAACTTTCTGGTGATGCGCTGAACTTTATGATGAACGGTCTGCTAGCATGCTGTTCAAGTTCATTGTTTGTGTTTATGTTCAAGCTTATGTTCAACTTAAGGCTCACGTCCTGACGAACTTTGTGAAGGCATTTTCGCCAAATGTTATATTGAAATTAACTAAACTTTCTGATGCTACCGAAGAAGGTGTGACTGCTTATCATACATACTTATATATATATATATATATATATATATATATATATATATATATATATATACATATATATACATATATATACATATACATACATATACATATATATATATATATATATATATATATATATATATATACTGGTGGTATTTATGCACTGTTGAATTGACGTTTTTTGAACCTTCGCTACTGTACTCAGTAACGGTTAATATGAGTTATCAACTCGTCCAGCAGTCCGTGTTTCACTACTACTATTGAAATAACTTTACAAAAGCAGGAAATACTTTGACGTGAATGAAACCTCAGTAACTTGTTAACTTTGTTCATTGGTGCCCACTGAAATCTGAAATCTCCGGCTGACACAATGATGCACAAGTGCGCTTCACCTTGTGGCTTTATTTGTCGCCCCCGATGTACATCTGCCACTGTTATAAAACCACAAAGCCCTATAGAACAACGAACGGTGACAGAGAGACATCACTTGATTTACACAAATCCTTTTTTCTGGTGTTCCTTTCGTTTTGCGCGCAGTGCACAAACCACAAGTCAGAGCCTACTTTTCGAATTGCAGAGCTACGCCGTTCCTGTACCGCTCATAACTCGTGTTTCGCGCGGAGCTTTACGCGATGCTGCGTCCGAAGATGAAGAAAGGCTATGGCAGGTCAGATTTTAAAAAATGGTGGGTCTCTGTCGCGGGCGTTTCGCAGAACCTGAACCACAATCCACGAACGCTGCTGCCCAAGTTCTACGGCCTCTACTGCTACCAGTGCGGCGGCAAAAGCGTTCGCGTCGTGGTGATGAACAACCTCCTGCCTTCGGTGGTGCCCATGCACCAGAAGTTCGACCTGAAGGGATCCACCTTCAAGCGCAAGGCGAGCAAGCATGAGCGGAGCAAGCGCTTCCCGACCTTCAAGGACCTCGACTTTCTCGAACAGCATCCCGACGGCATCCTGCTGGAGACGGACACCTACAATGCCCTCATGAAGACCATCCAGAGAGACTGCCAGGCATGAATACTATACTGCGATCTCCCTTTCATGACGTCATCGTGACGCTATGATGACGTCATCATGATGACATTATTGTAGTTGTCATAGTGCTCAAACACGAGCCAGGAGAGAAGCCTTTAATACTTACGCCTTCGCCATTATCAGTGTGATTACAGTTAACACCAGCAACACGATCAGAGCTTTTCAGCAGGTGCAGTCAAACCTTGAGTAGGCGAGTTTACAGCGTGGAGACTCGGAAAGATTGCGGCTTGATAAACTCCATCTTCATGTTCGCGTGAAATATAGTCAAGCGAATTGGTCACGTAACTCACGGGCGCTCGCTAAAGGCATTTGACTTACTTTCATAATTTCTTGCTTTCATACTTTGCTCTGAATTCGTAGCACTGCAGAAATCAATACATTTTTACGTAGGCCAGAAACTGTTTATGAGCTCCAGAAATACTGCTAATAATATATTTAGTTACGAGAACTCATTGCACGGGCTTGTGTGATATATGCATGGACTGAACACAAGCTTCCGCTACTTCGCTCCTCCCGAAATTATTCGCTCAAACCTAAACTTTGTTCTTTACTATTAAACAACGAAATTTAGGTTTGAGCGAAGAAATGAATGGTATCTATACTATTATAGATACCATCCACTTCTTTAGCCGTAGAGGTTACTTGCAGGAACTTTCTAGTAATACGCGGGCACGTTTTGTTTTCAATTACTATTTGCAGGTATTGGAGAGCTTCAGAATAATGGACTACAGCCTCCTCATAGGCATACACAACATCGACCAGGCGGCGAAGGAACAAGTAGTGAGTTTTTTCAGTGTTCGTGGAACCGAGTTCCTGAATGTGGAGGTTACAGTCATTTTTTTTTTTTCGCGTTAGAGTCAGCTCTTCGCAAGCATGTGCAAATATGCCATATTAACTTAATAAAACACTTATTTCCTTTTAGATAACTTGCCAGGGAATGACTCCCACGCGATTCCATAGCATTTCCTGCAAAAAACCGTTGACAACATCACAAGTCAAGGTATCGGAAATGAGGCATTACATAGAACTTCCGCTTCGTCTTTAGTCGCTTTTGCTCTCCGAGTCACTCACGGCGTTTCGCGGAGTTAATATGGCTTATTACTAAGCGTTGCGATTTGCCCTGGTGCATGCGTTGTAACAAGCAAAACTGTTTCGAGGCTAAAGTTTTACATGCCTCATCAAACGTGAAAAAGTGACTGTCAGCGTCAGTGTCAACGCGATTGGAGACGCATAAAAATGTCCATCGTGAGATGACGTCATTATACAACACCATGACGTCATGGATCACATATCTCACCATGTCGTCACTGTGACGTCACATTCACGTGACGCCGCATGACATCCTATAGCTTGAAATAATCAAATGTGGGTCGATCCCGGAGGCCATGCGAGGTACAGAAAGCTTCCAATGTCTGCAATCCCGGAAGCAACGCAAAACCATGTTTGCTGGAGAATGTTTTCGTGGCGAGGTGAAAGGGGGAGGCATTAGTCAAATCGACTACGTCTATAAATCTGAACAGACTTTATTTCAACTTCTGATACACAAGACTTGAGCACATATGAACCTATTAAATGCGTATGAACTGTCATACGATCTTCGGCTGTGCTGTATATTCACACCGTGTGTTCTACTGTATTGCATTTTTATTATTTTTCTTACTACACATTTTGTCTGCTAAGCGAGAAAGAGTATCCGGCGCCGCCATGATGTCACCAAGCTCTCCGATTCCATCTTTTCAAAGAATATATATACATATTGACTGAGAAGGCAAATTAATAAGGGACAGTGTGAGTTTTATTTTGGTTGCCGATGAAAATGTCCTATAAGCAACACTAAGGTATAATTTCAATACCGCAAGAGTGCTTGATTTGGACGTATGTGCAAAAAGGTAAGGTGTAGTGGGGTGAGGGGTGGCGAGGCTTTCTTTAGTTGTCAGTGTAACTTTTAAAGCAGTGTAAGATAGAAGCTCGTATATATGTGCTATGTCATTTTAAACAACGAAACCCTGAAAACCTAAAAAAATGTTCGAATGGTACTGTAGCGACGAGAGAAGAGAGACGTGAGATGACGTCGAAGGCGGCCGATGGGGCCGTGCCGATCTCGCCACTTTATTCCCGGCCTGAAGCGGAGCCACGTCGGTTACCAGCGTCCGCCACGCCAGGCGTGTCAGCTCGTTCTAATTCTCGCGCAGCTCGAGCTCGCGCCAGCTGCGCGAGAGACGCGGCGCGGTGATGGAAAAAATGATGATGGTGATGATGGCACTACAGGGCTCCCCCCCCCCCCCCCCCCTAGCGCTTTGCGCGATTTGAAGGCATATGAAAAAAAGAAAGAGGGCGACAAATGCTATGTACATGAACGGCAGTCCATAAAGTGTTCCTTTGGCAAGTCCAGTTTTTCAACGTGTAGTGACCATCGGGAACCAGTGGGTCTCTGGTGGGCGACACTGAGAGTTGCGCAGTGGACGAAGAAGTAAGCGCTCGATGGAAAGAAATCCGTAATGGCGGATGGCTCGGTCCCAGAGGTCTTCAATCGTGGAAAGCACCTCTGGAATTTCGAGGTCTCGCGCCACTTGTGATGCGTTTCTGTAGGCGAAAGAGAGGCCGTACTCAGTGACGCTGTGAAGCGACGCATGACTGAGAACGTGCTCAACTGGTGCACTAAAGTGCGGGCTGTAAAGCGTGTCAAACGGGCCCGTGTCGTAGAGGCCGTCGTAGAAGGTGTAGTCACACACGCCGTCCGCAGGCAGCGGCTGCGACTCGTTCGTCGCCGTGCCGAATACGCGGACCACGGGAAATGGCGTCATGGGAGGCTGTGCAGGAAAGACGGGTTCAGTTGTCGCCTCAGTCACTGTCGAGGTATTCGACGCTGGTGGACTGGTGGCAGTGCTTGTTCCCATGCTTTCAGTTGGCTCCACAGTGGTTGTAGTTAGGTCGGTTGACTTGACAGACGTCATAGACACTTCAGTTGGCTGGTCAGACGTGGTAGGCAGCTCAGTTGGCTCAACAGATGTCGTAGGCAGTTGAGTTGGCTCCACAGATGTCGTAAGCACTTCAGTTGGTTCGACAGGGGTCGGAGACAGTTCAGTTGGCTCGACAGATGTCGTAGATAGTTCAGTTGGCTCGACAGATGGTGTAGGCAGTTCATACGCGGGACACGCGTCGCTAGTGGCCAGACGAGAGGAAGTCGGGAGGTCAATAACGGGTGAAAGGTCACCTGTGCCAGGCTCCGATGCGGGCGGCAAGGTGGCCGTCATGGAGTCTGGTGGGGCCACGGCTGGTAGCACACGTTGCGACGCAGTGACAACGCCAAAGTCGCGGGCCCCTGGAAGCGGTTGGTACGTGAGGCCATTGCGGGCGAGCACCGCAGTGCAGAGGGCATCATAAGGCTGCGGGCTGGTGCTTGAAGTGGCAGCGAGATGACGCAACTCTACCGGAAGGGCGTCATGAAGAATGGCGTGCATCAGCGGCTGGTCCGTGACGCCATTCACCGCCAGAACGGCGTCGAGCTGCATGAACCATACCTTGGGGTAGGTCGATTGGAGCGGCGGCACTGGCGGGCAGAGTTGCGGGAACATGGCCGCGGGCCGCTCGGCGAAGGGCGTGTTCTCCGGGTCACCAATGTAGCGACGAGATAAGAGAGACGTGAGATGACGTCGAAGGCGGCCGATGGGGCCGTGCCGATCTCGCCACTTTATTCCCGGCCTGAAGCGGAGCCACGTCGGTTACCAGCGTCCGCCACGCCACGATTTCGGGCCGACCGGTCGTGCGCTCGCGCGCTCCGCGCGCTTGCGATCTCCCGCGTCATCGTGGCTCTGGCCGACTGGGCTCGCCCTACGTCATCTCCTGCCGCCGACGACCTTCCGCCTCCGACGACAGTGCAGCTCTGATTTACTGGACTTGTTCTACGCCATCCACCGACGCCGAAAGGAGCTCTCGCAGGTGCGCCCCGTCCTCGGACTCCAGTGACCGTGCTCCATCTTTCCTATCTCTTCTATCCCCTCGGGTTTGTCCTCGCTCGCTGTGGCTTACCACCACACGTCTCTTCTTCTCTTCTCCTTCTTCGGCTTTCCCACATCTTTACTCCTATCCTTTTTTATCCCTCCTCACCCCCATCCCTCGTGAGCTACTGTGGCGGTGTCGCTCATTGAAGCAGACAATAACGGGGCTCGCTTTTCTCTTCTTTTCTCTTTTAATAATAGCCACTCCGCCACGCCAGGCGTGTCAGCTCGTTCTCATTCTCGCGCAGCTCGAGCTCGCGCCAGCTGCGCGAGAGACGCGGCGCGGTGATGGAAAAAATGATGATGGTGATGATGGCACTACTGTACACTACAAGTGTAAAACTATACCACGTTCAAAAGAAATTTCCACTAATACGAAGGTGCGTCCAACTGCGTCACGTCAATGGAGATATATGAAAGTGCTTTTATGTCGTGGTATACGTGTGTCTGTATCTGTATCGAGCGCAACTGCACATGCGTGTCAGCCGTGGTGTCTCTTTATATGCACAAGTATTACCCGAATAAAGACCTTTCGTTTGGTCGCATTCTTCTCGGATACAGTGTCTATATGCAATAGCAGTAAAATATCGAAGTGGAACACCGCGTTTCACTTGAAATAAGTCATGGTGTTCGTACAAGTGAGGTTTTTTCTTTCGAAGAGGGCGTAAAAGCCGAAACGTCGGCAAATATTTTTCACCTTGCTCGGCTTCCGCCAGATTTTTTTTCGCTTACGGGCGCCAAAGACTGGGGGGCGTTGTCAGGCTTTTTGGGTGCACCCCCTCATTTTGTGGGATCCTGCGGACCTCTATACGCTCAACATTTCATGCCTTAACGAGAAGCTGCGTAGTTACATGTTCAAAACAGGAGCGGTATCACTGTTGAAAATTGGGGAACCCTTGAGCCTACAGCAGTAGTGTGGTGTAACCTTGCACACTTCGCACGCAGGAGCGGCAGTCTCACAGTGCAAAGGACGAAGTGAAACTCACTCCTCCAGCAGGCACGGACGACGAATCCAGCTCTAAGCCGGCAGGTGAAGCCTTTCTCTTATATTTACAGCCTTCTCTATGACACAGGTTAAAAATCTCAGCGCTTACTATCACCTGAAAGCTTTATTGAACAAGATGTAGCATATATATCCAACTAGAGCACGTCACCCGCTGCACATGCGTACCTTTCGTGTGGGTGCACCATTATGCACTGTCTCACCGTACGGAGTGGCGTGCTCTGGTTGAACACATATGTTCGATCTTGTTAACTAAAGCTTTCAGTTTATGGTTAGCGCTGGTGTCCCCACCTTGTCTCTCTTGCCCTATAGTTGTCGTAGTTCGCGCTTAAAGTTTTCAAGATGTATACATGTACCACCTCGTCTTTCGGTCTTAAGTTCCAGCACGTACAAAGCAAAAGAGCACCTGGTGGTTGACCTTTATTCACTGTGGCACGCAGGATCCGCGCTGACACAGAACAGGGTGACGAACCGGCAGCGGCTGGCGAACTTCTCCACTGCCATGGAATCAATCCAGGCTGACGTAGAGCCCATTGATCATGACGAGGACGTTCCGTAAGTTCAGTGTTTTTTTGTTTCGATTTGTGCTTGTACTCAATCGCACCTATAGTCAAATTATTAATTTTTTTCTTGGGTATTAAGCATTCGCATTCTCTTTACGATTTTACAATATTTTAAACAGCACATCCCCATTTGGCTTATGTTTTAAAGTTGTTTAACAGGGCACTGGTATAGAATTTTTCACTTATCGTTTTTGCGTCAAATGATAGGCCAAGATTCCGAGAGCGTAAGGAAATGTTACTGGTATATAAGCGTGAATGCATCGCCCCGAAAATTAAGAAATACAACGCACAAAAAATATTTTTGTTGTGACTGCACAACCACCGTCTGCCAGACTAAGTCGACACGTAAACCGTATACAGTGGCATAGTGTGTGCTCTTGTTTAGGATGCTTGTTCAGAAAGAGTTAAGTAAGCGTAAACAAACAAAATCGGCGAACAGCATAGTTCTTTCAAAAGTTGTTGCGACCTAAACACGAGTGCACGGTCGGAAGTACTTTCTGTAACAAATTTGTTGTGGAGAAAAAAAAAAAAAAACAAGCCGCCGTCCCCATGGCGAAACCCACCCATCGACCTCTTCTTAACTGCTAACTGTGATATAAGTCCCTGATGATGATAACGTTGCTCCTCGTATTCTACACAATTTGCAACAAAATTTGCCTCCGCATTTTTTTGCTTCATGTAAAAGTTAACTTTCAATGCTAAAGTACGCGCCTTATAAAGGTGTGTGCCGCAGAGCAGACTTGGACAATATGAATGAATGTTGTTCTTTTCTTTAATACTTTGTCATGTCGGTGAGTTTTTTCGCAAATTAAAATTCTCAAAAGTGAGGCGAGGGGCGGGGGGACATGCACTCATCTTTCGAACAGTGCACAACGAATTATTCTGTATCTATAGGTCATCGTTCCATACCCGTTTCCCACGGTCACTTTTTTTTACTGCGCGAGGCTATTTTTGCAGTATACGAGGTTATTCGGGAGGAAATTTCAGCCCGTAACCATCCCAACTTGTCAGAATAACGCTAACGTTTCCGTGTCGGCCAAACATTTCCTTCTCTGTATGCAGAACCGGCGGCATTCCAGCGAAGAACTCCAAAGGAGAGCGACTACTCTTGTTCATTGGAGTTATTGATATTCTCCAGAGCTACAGACTCGTGAAGAAGCTCGAACACACCTGCAAGTCCATGTTTCACGACAAGGTGAGAATGGTATTGCGCTAGCAGGTGTGGACCTTCTCGCTGCCGCGCTAATAAATTTACTCAGCAGGTGTGGACATTATTGGTTTTCCTCGCATAGAAATTGCAGGATGAATCCTAGAAAGCGTCTTATGCCGCGAGGATTTCTCCAATTGGTGCAATTTTCGAGGAGACCAAACAAAATGGTATTTTCTGTGCGAATGACAGCTCGCAAGCAATGTCGATGAACGCAACTGAAGCAGAGAGGAAACAGCCGGCCATCTCCGTTGTGTGAAAGGGGCATGAAGAGGTTCCGGAGTGAGGGTGCGGGGATGCGTGGCTTCAGCCGAAAAAGTACTTCGAACAGCCGGGGAGTGGTCGCTGCAGTCGCGTGCGCCGTGTATTTATAGGGCTGCAGAGGAGGGGTCGTACCTTCTAACGTGTGAAGTTCTCAGTCTCATCGCACTGTTTGCGTTGAAGCCACAAGCAGCATGAAAGTCGATTCGCTCGCAGCAGCGGCCGCATTTCCTTAAGCGAGCGTCTGTGTTTAATTACTCCGGGTCTCAAGCTTAATGAGTTCACTGCTGGCTTTACTTCGTATAACATTCTGATTTGTTGCTATCGCATTCACTGCTACGCCCCTTGAGACGAAACTGACTAATGAGGCTACACAGTATAGCACGTTATGTCGTAGAGTCATTCTGTAGACGCTGAGGCACAGTTCATTATTCAGTGAACTATCATCTAGAAGACAAAAACAAATCGTGCTTTTTCGTGGTACGCATACAACGTTCCGATGATGTGAAAATGCAAAAAAAAAAAAACCTTGGCTTGATTTGCGTTATGCCTGAGAGCGACATTTCTCCATTGTAACTATTGCGTGTATTTTGATAGACGTGGCCTTGCTGGGACCATGCAACAAATCAGTTCTAATTACTAGCTCTTACAAACTAACAAAATTTCAAGCATTCGAAATTTCACTAGTTTTGTATTTAACACATTCACTTAGCAAATTTTGTTATTATATAGGAAAAGCTGCAAGAAAACTACCTCGTATTTGACAACCCACTAGGGATTTTCAAGCAATTTATTCAGTTGTGGTAAATTCACAGGAAAAACTAAATATTTCCATAGGTTGTTGTTTTTTTTGTTTATTTATGAATACTGCTTGTTGTGAGGGAAGGAAAGTGTTGAACTGACCTTCATGTAATTGCATAGAGAAATGGTAATAACAGAAGATTATAGCTTATCATGACTGAAATTATGTAATAACTGAAAACTTTCTACGCTCCTAACGGGCGCGTGCACTTCTCTCATGGCTCATAACCAATGCAGGGGATAGGCCGAGTATTAGGTGAAATTTTTTCAGTGTTTCCTCTCGTGTAGGCTAGGAATAGCTAAGCCCCGCCGATGGTGGTCTAGTGGCTAATGTACTCGGCTGCTGACCCGCAGGTCGCGGGATCGAATCCCGGCTGCGGCGGCTGCATTTCCGATGGAGGCGGAGATGTTGTAGGCCCGCGTGCTCAGATTTGGGTGCACGTTAAAGAACCCCAGGTGGTCGAAATTTCCAGCAGCCCTCCACTACGGCGTCTCTCATCATATGTTGGTTTTGGGACGGCTAAACCCCACATATCAATCTAAAAACTCTGGTCCTTGGGTTTGATCGCTATCGAAGAGTGTCGCAACACATGCATAACTTAGACACGCGCATGCGAGGGGTTGATTTCTGCAGAATGCACTGCGCTGCATTGCCGATCTGAATGACAATGTTGAGCGATGTTACCTGGTCTTCATGACGTTTCTAGGGCACGTAACACAAATTATAATGGGCAATGCGAACGATGTGAGCAGCAACCACTGCACAACTCGCACGGCTCCGACGTTAATTCTTTTTTCCCCAATAGCTAAAAAAAAAAATCTCGTGAAAGCTTCTCGCTTTGACAATGATAAATGGACATAGACAATGAGCAACATCAATGCCTGTCGCTCTGAACTTGACGAGAACCGCAGCGTAGTCCGAGCACTGGGTGTCTGCTACAGTTCGCGCATCGTGGAGCACCTTCTAACGCGCTTTCAGAGATTCTCGATATGTATTAAACCTTCACTATTACTTAAAGAGAAAAAATCTAGCCATCCTTGCCCTTGCGTTTTCAAGCAATATTAGCGCGTACAGCAGCTGCATGTGCGACGTTTGCTCGCGCTTCGTCGTCTGACCTAGAGTGACCCTCTGAACTTGTAGAGTGACCTTCTGTATATACTACCTCAGGTAGCATATACATAAACTCTACTTGTTGCTAGAGTTACTGTATAGGCTACGTACCTATACAGTAACCCTACTTGTTGCTGCAGTATAGCGCCACCTGGACCGGATGTCGGTTTGGCGCCGCTTTCGGAGTATGGCGGAGGCTGTGAGTTTAGCAACTGAACAGGTTGGCCATGACAGGGCCGCCGAACAATTTGTGGTTTTCAACGAAAACTACATGCCGAGGGTCTCTTATGCATACAAGGGTGGTCTGTTATCGGCCTGGTGTAGAAAAAAGCATTTTGGGCCTTCAAATTTATTTCTATTTTTCAGTATAGCCTGCTCTGAAATGAACACACACTTGGTCCATCGATGTTCCAGAGCTGCAGGATTACGCCCTTAAAATGACTTTAAGGAAGTTCTGAAAAGTACTCAGCCACATCAGCAATAACTTTTTCATTTGATGAAAAACGTTGCCTACGAAGAAAGATTGCGAGTTTTGGGAACAGGTGGTAGTCCGACGGGGCCAAGTCAGGAGAATAGGGTGGATGCTCCAACAATTCGTACTTCAAATCGTTCAATTTAGCCATTGCAAGATACCGTTTGTGCACGGGTGCATTGTCCTGATGAAATATGATTTCCTTCTTGTGCAAACCTGTTTTTTTTTTCTCAGTAATTTTCTGATCTACTTTAATTAAAAGGTCAGATATAATACTACCCAGCTATGGTTATACCTTTTTCAAGATAATCGACAAGCACAATGCCTTGAGCATCCATCTACCCCTCCCCCCCCCCCCAAAAAAAAAAAACATACAGAGGTCATCACTTTTTCTACGGAGGGAACTGACCTGGCTTTTTTGGTGCAGAGGACCCGGTTTCAGTCCACTGCTTTGATTGTTCTTTCAATTCTATCATGTAATGGTGAATCTAAGTTTCATCCATTCTTATAAAGCTGAGCAGTCAATCAGCTGGATTTTTGTTATACAGCTCCAAATCATGCTGTGACATCGTCATGCGGTTGTGTTTTTGCTCAGGAATAAGGATGTGCGGCATCTATTTCGCGCACAGCTTATTCACGTGTAGTTCGTTGTGCAAAATGTGACTTACACATTCCTCAGATGCCAACAACCTCGGTAATTTCAAGCAACTACAATCACCTGTCTGTCAAAACCATATCGTGCACTCGGGCAATCGATTCAGGAGTTGTTGCACTTTTCGGGCGCCTTTCGCGCTGGTCATCTTCAAAGCCCATTTCTCGATTAGCACGAAGGTGAATCTTGCTTGTAAACTTTAACAAACATTTGGTGAATTTCATTCGGAGACGAACCTTCTTTTATAAAGAACATCACCGCACGGTACTCCAGCTTCTCCATGCCTTACGCTGCTTCACACTACACCCACAGTAATCGACTGTCAACGCCAACCTGCTAGTCGGCACCTGATGGCGTTTCATCCAAGACTTTCAGAGACTTGTATGAACGTGCACATCAGTGCTGCTAGTTTTAGCTCCCGCGATTCTTATCGAGGCCGAGAATTTTTGAGACCACCCAAGTATGTGAATAGTGGACTGCAATAGGATATTTCAGGACAAAACAAGCCCTATAGAAGTCGCCGATAATAAACCGCACCTAAGGTCGGTGACCGTTATTCTGTCATGGCACCCGTGACGTGATGTGTTGCACGAGGCGGAGCCGCTGTGTTTTACCAAATTTCAGCCGCTGCGACTAAAGCGTTCCATTCGAGCACCGAATTGAAGAAAGCTCGTACATCTCGAATTCACGCGTGCCTGCAGGACCACAGAACAGTATCGTTCGCCAGAATGCAGTGAGCTTCTTGTTACGTCACGATTGCGTCACTGTTGCCCGACTACCAGGCGGCTCGTGTCGTGTGTTTATAAATATATTTAGTTATGAATTAAGTGCTGAACCAAACGCGCTGAAATTTCGCCAGCATTTCTGTCAGCGCACAAGCATTGACATGCATAACGCACAAACTATTATCAAAAATTGGATGTCATGGCCTCTTTAAGCATTTGAGTTTGCTCCATGGTTTTCCTCTATGCTTGTGCGCAGGACACCATATCGGTGCAGAGGCCCAGCTTTTATGCAGAGCGGTTTCAGGAGTTCTTGGCTAAGAAGGTCTTCAAGAAGATCACCTCTCGTAAGTACACAAGGTGGCATCGACCCTGACGCAGTCATGTATGTCTCCCCTGCACTCTCTAGTTCACCATCCTCTTTGTTGCCCGAAGGTACAGCGAGAATTATCACAGCTGATCGCTAATTAACCTAACATTGCCCAATTCTTTCTGAAATACCGAGTCTCATAATGACTGCTCGAAAAGTTGTTACTACGCGTTGCGTCTTGCATATTTGATGAATTGGCGTATGTGTGCATAATATATATATATATATATATATATATATACGTGTGTGTTTGTGTCTTTAAAACAAGTTAAATAACTGAGATGAGTCTAGCGTTGGGCGAGTTGTTATTGCATTGCGGGTGGGAATTCACGATAAAACACGGACAAGAAACGAAAGTGTTGTCGAAGCTCAAAAACAACCGCGCGCGAGATTGTTGGGGCCTTTTGCATACACAAGTTCGGTACGTATGTGTGGCGAAGACATCGGTGGATCTACACAAATTCGAGGTTGCCTATCTAACTACCAACGTGTTATCGTAGCTCCTCCATAGGCACTCATACCTCGATCTAACAAATCCAGATATAATGAATTATCGGTTATAATGAAGTAAATGAAAAATATTCTTGTCATATAGTGTTAGCAATAAACATCTATAACGAATTTCCGGATACCAAGAACTCATTTTCGTGTAAGATACAATTTTGTTACAGTGAGATTTCAGCTTATAATCGCTTCGCGCGGTCGGGTCAGTTGTGGCAATCACTGAGCAAATTTCATCTATTTGCAGCGCCCGCCACAGTGAAAGATCTACCCGCGATAACGTACGAAGTTCCAGAAACACCTAGTCAAATAACGAAGGCACGACAGCGGACGTCGAGAATCAAGAGTCAGGTCTGCGCCATGTCGTCACTGTGACAGTCGACGAGAATTCATCCAGCGAATGTGTGGACGTGACGACGAACGAGTGGCGCCACGCTGTTTTGGGTGTTGCGCTTCTTGTGTGTGTTCGTTTGAGCGTATCTTTTTATTTTTATTTTTCGAAGTATATAGTCGCATCAGTGCACTACACGAACTGCAACTTTATTCCTGTATGCCGCATTTACTCGAAAACAGATCATGCACGAATATAGAACCACCCTCTATATATTACTGAACTCGATCGCAACGAAATAAAAATATGCATATCAGGTCAAAAATATTTAGTCACTCATGAGAATGTGACCCTCCGGTAACGTCGATAATGCATATGAAGCAAGAAAATTAAAACATGCGATAAACGTTGTTATCGTCGTCTTAGTGATAATCATCAGCAGGAAAATTAGATATAAAGTTAAGGCATAGATATAAAGAAAACTCCGAATTAAGGTACTAGGCACTTCGAGAAATGGTCAATAGCCGGCACCACATTCGATCTATTGAAAAAACATCAATATGCACACTGAAACTATGATTCGGTACGATTTTATATTCTCGCGGCCTCTCCCGAAAAAATGAAACGAACGGATGTGAGCTGTTTCAATGCAGTATCTCGCAGTATTATGCATCTGGTCGACTTCGTTGAGACTAAGACGATGTACGTGTTGTGCGAATGTCCAAGTATGTGCACGTTGAGTTTTGGCGACTTTTTTTTTTTTCGCCTAGGACTTGGGAATTTCTCACAGATGGGGATTCCTTCTCGCGCAACCACTGTGTTCGTTCTCCATGCACCTTTCCGGATCGACAGCTTTTAGGGGCGAAGCTCATTAGGGCGTGGGCTGTGCGTCCCCCGTAGCCTGTATGTAGCCACCTCTAGTTTAGTTCTTGCAGTGTTCACTAGATGGCGGTACCATCCCCTGTATGTAGCCACCTCTAGTTTAGTTCTTGCAGTGTTCACTAGATGGCGGTACCGTCTCCTGTATGTAGCCGCCTCTCGTTTAGTTCTTGTAGTGTTTACTAGATGGTGGTACTTGTAGCTGATGATGAAAAGATGCAAGATGTTATAAACTAGAAAGCGGTACTTGTAGTTGATGAAAGACGCGAGATCTTATAAAATAGGAATGATGTCACATATGGCGCGTGTCATTGGTTGAAGGCAATCGTTCGATTTAGTGCGGCGACGTACGCTAGGGGGAGCGATGTAATAAAATCGAGTGGGCAAAATGTACAGAGGATTCATGGTTTACCAAGTTTACCTCCGGAGCTCGCCCACTCATCATCATTCACTTCGTGGATTTGGCGGAATTTTTTTTTGTGTGATAGAATCCAGAGACCGTTTACCTCGAGTCTGTATCGGTCGCATATGGGAGACTCCACGCCTTGTCCGGTTTGCCCTCGCGCATACTTTTTACACGCGTAGGAGTGCGTTAGTGGCAAATAAAGTGTCATTGAAACTTCCTGTTGTTTCTATACGTTACAGATTTAGGTGACAAATAAACCGAAAAACGTTTTTTTTTCTTATTTTACAAAATTCCCGATTTAACGAAATCATTTGGGCTTCAACTGCATGTTAAAGGGGTTGCAGACTCTTCAAGCTTTTCGTGGAGGACAGCTTGTACTCTACAATCCCCCCCCCCCCCCCATATGTATTTTTGTAACCATACAGGATGGCAAAACAATCTCAACTTCAACCAGCTTACAAGGTCTGACTGATATGTTTAATCAATGCATAACACACACGGAAGATAACAATCCCAAAGGAAATCAAGTGAACGCGTAAGTGATCTTGCCGTCATAGTCGTCTTAGCAATCGCTAAGGAGGCCCACGCTGCTGATCAATAGCCAAGGCTACCGAGAACACGAGCGAAACACAGGCCAGCACGCGGGCTGGAATTTACAGCGAATTCTGACAGTCAGCCAGAACTCGTTCCTTCTGCTTTCGACAGACGATGTTGCGTATACTCAAAATGGCCGCACCATACACCCAAATTGACGGCATTGGGCTGATTTGGGCATCGCGAGTTGCATTTGGGCCGTGGCCGCTGTTATGCCAGCGAGTCCTCGTCAAACGACCGTGCCTCTGAAAAAGGCAATCTGGGTCAAGGCCAGCCCGCAGTCGGCCTGGCGCGATCACCTCGACGGCGTGAACACGCGCGGCGCCCCTCTGGCCCACGTGCATTGAGTCAGCTGCGCGCGTGACAGCGAGCCGGCGGCCGCGTGTCGGGTGGTCTGACGCATGGCGCGGCGGCCCCCATTGGCGGAATCTGCCCTGACGACCAGCGGCGCTTCTGATTGGACATTTTGGTTGGACCCGGTGCAAATAAAAGAAGCCCTGCGGCGTGTCGCGATCGGAGGTCCTACGAGAGAGGAGTCCCCATGTCGGAGAGCCGACATGTGTGTGAGTCAGCGGTCTTAGGTGAAAGACTGACCTATGTGTTAGAGAGAAGAGCTCGGCTCTTCGAGTCTCTGTCGGCCCCAGTGCCGAAATTGTAACGCCTCTGTAAATATGCTGTACATAAACCTTGTTTAACTCACCGTCGTCTCGTCCGCTCGTCTTATCAGCTCTGCGCAGAAGCAGTCGCGAGCTGATAAACATACGCTACCAAACGGCTGGTGACCTTCCCGGCGGAGTTGAAAGCAGTGGCGCCTCCGGGGCCGTGTTGGCGTCGCCGTCTTTCGCAACAGTGGTGGCTTCGGCGGGATCGGTCCGCCGTTTCTCAACAGTGGTTGGCAGCTGCGGGATCGGCCGGCGTCAGCGACATCGATGCGGTGAGTGCCTGATGTTTTCCCCTCAGTTCACCAGACTACTCTAGCTCAGGTTGTAGTAGTTTAGAGAAAGGGCTGTGTGAAGCATTGAAGTGAGCTTTGATCGTTTCAAGCCAAGTTGAAGTGCTTTGAAACCAAAGTTAATGCGGAGGTGGTAAAACACGGGAGTGTGAAAAATTGCTTGCGCGTCTTGCTAGTAGGCTTATAGTGGGTACGGCAAGTAAATTCTTAACAGGGGCAAACAGCGAGAGGCTAGTGTGAACGATGGAGAACCTTAAAGTGAAGGAAACTCATCGAAATTTGTGAGGAACTCGGCATTACTTTGGGCCGTGCGAAACGAAAGCAAGCGATCCTTGAGATCATGAAGGATGAGGGAGTGTCGGCGGAGGAAGTCGATGAGGCCTGGGCGGATATCAAAGCACGCCACGAGGAGGCTGAAAGGCGAGAAGTAGAAGCTCGCGAACGTGAAGAAGCTGAAAGGCGCGAAGCTCGCGAACGTGAAGAAGTTGAAGGCGCGAACGTCGTGAGCGCGAGGAGGCCGAGAGACAAGAGCGTCTCGAGTTGAAACGACTAGAATTGGCAATCCTACAGTGTTCGCAGGCGCCTAGCGCAGCTTCTCCGACGATTCAGGTCAGCGGTTTTAGAATTAGGGACAACTGCCACCGTTCGTAGTAGGCGAGGACATGGCGAAGTACCTCGTCAAGTTTGAACACGTCTGTGAGCGAAACGCTTTGGAGCAGTCTCTTTGGGCGCGGAACCTGCTAGCTCTTCTTCCCGGCGAAGTGTCCGACGCGATAACTTGCTTGTCGAGGGAAGCGTTCGAGAGCTATGACGAGGTTAAGGAAGTGCTCTTGAGACGTTTTAAGTTGTCACCCGAGGCTTTCAGGCAAAGGTTCCGGTATGCTAAAAAGGGGAATGAGTCACACGTTGACTTCGCGTTTCGTCTTAAAGCCGATTTAATTGAATGGCTCAAGGGCGAAGGTGTTTATGACGACCGCGATAAAGTGGTGGAATGCGTTGCATTGGAGCAATTCTACCGCTGCATCGAGGAGGATGTCAGACTTTGGCTGCAGGACAGACTTGGGGAAGTACAGTTAAATAAGGCAGCTGAGTTAGCTGAGGAGTATTATACTCGCCGAAAGTTGCATAGCAGGGCAGCGCGCGTTGAAAAGGATGAAAAGAAAGAGGGCTTTTCATTGAAACCTGATCAACGGAAACCCGTTCCGCACCGCAATTTCAAAAAGGACCCGTCTCTTACGAAGGACAGTGTAGGGGAAGGGCAAACAGAAACGGAGAAATCGAGTGAGGTTTCTACCACACAGGAATTTGAATCGGAAAACAAACGGAAGCCGCTAATCTGCTACAACTGCAAAAAGGAAGGGCACATCGCGAGAAACTGTCAGGAAAAGTTTGCCTTCACAACGATCCGAGGATCAGAAAAAAACATCCGGTTGTTGGAGCCGTATCTCCAAGAAATTAGGGTCAATGAGAAAACGTGCCGAGCACTTAGAGACTCAGCGGCAACCATGGACGTTGTCCATCCTTCATTGGTGTCTCCGGATGACTTCACAGGAGAATGCGCGTGGATCAGGCAAGTCGCCGAGGTGCAGAGTGTTCGCTTATGGTGCATTCAGACGACGGACCGAATCCGGATTTGTCGTGGACGCGGACAGCTAATCCGCGGATGGTCCGCCTGCAGGCGCATCCACACGACGGACGGTGTTCTAGGGGAAAACAGCCGGATTACCCTCGACAGCAGATTCGGCGCTCACCTGCGCCCGCGAGCAGCAGACCGGTTTGAGAGTATTCAACATGGATGCCCGCAAGAAGCGAAGCTTGGCTGCGATGTCTGTCGTGTTGTGACAAATGAACGAGTAGTGTTATTCTTTCAGGAGAAAAGGGAGTTGCTAGCAGGATATTCTTTCAACTACATTATTCCCCACTTGTAGAACTTCTAAACGTGTCTCCCGCCTTTTTTTTTTTTTAGAAGCGGCACGTCGCCGGTTGCAGAAGTTGGAATATTTCACCACCATGACGGCTAAGAATCTCGCGTGTTAAGCGACGGCGGCGACATTTCCCGAACCACCAAAAGTGATTTCTGCATATTTAATCACCTGAGAACAAAGTCTTCGGAAACTAAGTAAACAATGCTCAAGCGTAGATGATGCCGACCAGTCATGCAGCTGTCCGCGAGCCATGGAGGACATGCCGCGAGCAGACGAAAAGTGTACTGG